GGTTCGAAGTTCACTTCATTTTCAAATTGGTTTCTACGGTCTGCCTCAACAAATCCCTCAAAATCCAAGTTTCCATCCAAAATTGCCTCTTCGATATCATTTGGTTTACACAAACGTTGTGCAAACCACAGCAAGATATGATGGTTTTAGCCATTCTATCAACGCTGAGCATATACAAGTGCTTCCAAAGGAATCTCCACCTGGACGTGAGCCCACCAAATGCATGTTCAATTTTAATTCGAGAACTAGAAAAGGTTGCATTGAAAATTTTTCTTCCGCAGTGCTTTCACGTCGGCCATGGAATGGAACAATGAGATTTGGCAGCAAAGGGTAAGCCGAATCTAGGTCTCATCGTTAATGCTTTGTATACCTTAAAATAATTAATGAACTTACCTCCCAAAATATAAGTGTTTGCAGGACACCATCTGGCCGCATCCAACAAAATTTTGTGATAAATCACGCTGCTTGTGAATACTCTGGCATCATGGTTTCTGCCTTAATATAATAACAAACGGTAAGCTGCTGTATCATTTTTTTATCCTTCCACATGAACTTACCGGAATGCCCAGTTTTTACGTACATAAACCGAGTACGGGCATCACAAATTGCCATCAAATTCATGGATGCATGACTCTTTCTATCGACATAAGCGTTTCCATTTATTGCTGGTTTTTGGATCACAACCAGCTTGCCATCAATTGCACCGAGTACACCAGAAAGTCTCGTAGCACCAGGTTCACCAAGTTCTGCAAACTCACGAGCATTGTTCAAAGCTCTCTGTCTATCTTCGATGGGCCATGTTATAAGTTCGGGAGTAATCTCCAACATGGCATCAATAAATCGGTTAGTGAAATTATTGAATGATCCGGCAGTTACTCCAAGATGAGTTTCGGCAATTCGATAACCAAAATGCGTGTTAGCAAATCTCCAAAGCACGCACGCAACTTGCACTTCTACAGAGTAACCACCTCGCAGAATTGACCCAAGATAAGCAGCACATCTACTCAAACGATTGACGAGCCACTCGAAGGTCGACTTGTTGACTCGATAATGAGCTCTATAGCTATGGCGGCTGTTACGATCGTCGTTCAAGTTGGGATGTTTTATCGTCCAGTATGTTTCGTACGTGTCCATACGCTCGGTTCTAACAACCCTTCTGTGCGATTCTCGGGTCATCATCCCAGGGTTGCTTATGAAGATGTAATAAAAGATGTCATAGTTGATTAAAGTGGTTGCATGCAAAATTGTTTCTCTGACCCAAAGTTGGAACAAGGAATAAACGTCATAGTTGCCTTCAAGACGAGCATAGTCGGCAATAATGTTCTCTTCGGCAATGGCAACCTCTTGTTCAAGCATTTCCTCTTCTAAATCGAACTCTTCGTCAATTCTAATGATTTCTTCCATCACGGCATCGAAGTATTGATCTTCGTCTTCAAAACGGTCAGCACCATTTCCCATCCAAAGTTGCTCTTGCATTATATCGAAAAAAGTTTCGTCAATTGGGTTCATGGTAAATAGGTACTTTAAAAAAAAATAAAGATAAGCGAAAAGGAATATTCCGTTTTTTTATTAATAAAATCACGTTAGGTCTTTTAGTAAATTTGAAAGTGAAGAACCGTCACGGCATCACCTGATCGATGAAATTATTTTTTTGTTCAATTTAAAAAAATCCGTTCACACCCAAAAAAGGGGTCCACCGGCTTTTCGAATTTTACCTTGAGAGCACCTCATGCTGGATACACATTTACTTTTTGAGTAACCGCGCTTGCTGTGGTGGTGTGAGAGGTGACGGTTTTTAACTTTTTCATCCCTTTTTTTTTTTCCGCGCACAAGCTCTCTCGTCCGCTGTTTTAACATTATAACAATGTCGATGAACAGTAGATATCGTGAAAGAAAATATAATACTTCAGATAATGACCGTTTATTAAGGGCACTTTCTCAACCTGTCCAAGCCTGGTAAGTCTACAACTTGAATTACACGCGCTTTTTTGTTCTCTAATCCAACAACTGTGGCCAGGGACAAGAAATGGACTCCACACTCCAACTCCAAAACACTCCAAACTTACAAATGGGTCAAATGTACAAGAAGGAACAACAAAAGGAAAGGAAAAAGTTGCTAATGCCTTGTTTTTTTTTGTGTGTAGCGGAAAGAACGATTGAATATGAACAAGACGAGGAAAGTGAGGAAGAACCAGAGCCCATGGAGACCGAACCATCGCTGGAAACAGCACCTGTAGAAATGACAACAGATATTCACATTGCCGAGACGAATGAAGGCACTGAGGAGACTACTACGACGACAACAGCAACAACAACAACAACAACAGTGAATGATACTGTCACTGCTACTGCTACAGGTGTGGAAATAAGCACGATGCCTAATAGCAGCCAGTCAGAACAAACCATTCCTGGTGGTCCCAGTACACTTTTAACAAATAAGGCACTTTCAACCGTTCAACAAGATATGGAGGAAGACAATCGTCGATCTGAAACGCCAAAATTAGATGATATCTCTGACGAGGAAGTGACTACAGTTTTGGAAGAAGAGGACGGAGCGGATGCATCCAAACATCCTGCTTTAGCACCTCATGCGCAAGCACATTTAAGCGATGATGATGAGAGTATGACAGATTCTACTGCTGTTACACCTCAAACTGAAGGAAATACACCAATGCCACAATTAGAAGGTGGGGAGGAGGATATGGAACAAACCAATGCTTTAAATGCACATCCATTGAGCCAAGAAATTTTAACAGGAGTTTCTCATGATATGGCTTCTTTAAACAATGATTCTCCCTCTGTTCAAACGCCTGAAGATGTTGTTTCTCATCATGATTAGATAAAACAAAAAATATGTGTAAAAATAAAAAAAAATCGCGTTCTTTTAAACATTTTTTTTTTTTTGCTTGTTTATTTTTTCGCTCCTTTCGTTAATCAATGACAACATGAATCTAGTGTACAGTAATTTATATAAACACGATGGGTGTCAAGCAAAGATATCGCCCGATGGACTCTTTGTAGCCAATGTACAGGAAAACCGATTAATTATTCGACAACACAATCAAGGGTTGACTATTCATATGGTGCACCTGTTGAAAAACCCGATTGATTATATTGAATGGTCCCCGAATTCAGAATATATCTTGTCGTGTCATTACGAAGGAGGACGTATACATGTACGATCCTTGGCGGACAAAAACTGGCACGGCGTGATCAAGGAAGATCGTGCAGCTATGGTTAAAGCTATGTGGACCGCTGATTCCAAAAACATTCTCTATACCACCGAGCTCAAGGTAAAACAGTGAAAATTAAAAAGAAGTGTGTGCTGGTTTTTAAAAAAAAAAAAAATACAAATGCTAGTTACTATTGGGTATTTGGAACTTGCCGACACTGGAATATAAATACATCAGACATATTAAATACACGGACAAAGGTTAGAAAAACAAGCTATCATATCCTCTCATCTTATTTATTTTATAATAGGCATTGAGACGAGTCCAGATGGAAATTATATCGCTATTGCACGAAAAGAAAACGGAAAAGATTGTATCAGTACCTACTCTAGTAGCACATTTGATTTGCTGGAGGTATATATAAAGAATTATTACAAAAGTAACTTTATAATTAAGAAGAGAAAAGAATAGCATTTTGAAGTAGGTACAGTGAATTTACAGAATTTGAAGTGGTCACCAGATGGTATGTTTATAGCCGTATGGGATCATTGTCTCCAAGTAAGAAACTACCTCTAAACTCCGGAGACATAGAGACTAACTTTTTGAATGTAGCACAAGTTACTTGTATACCGTCAGGACGGGAAATTATGTACTTTTTATAGCGGATATGATTTCGGTCTGGGGATTAAAACCGTGCAATGGAGTCCAAATAGTCAACTTATTGCCTTGGGCAACTATGATCAAACAGTAAGTTTCTATTTATTTAAATAGTCAAGAACTACTAAAACGATAAATAGATCCATTTAATTTCTACCAGGGATTGGAAATTAATTAGTATATTAAATCATCCAAAGATAATAAAAAAAGACGCGAACATGGTAAGTTTGGATAATAAAAAAATTTCTCGGGCCACGTGTGACTCATGTGGTACATAGAGGGTATTGGAAGAAAATGCATTACCATACTTGGAAAAGAATATAAAATCGCAATCAGAAATGGCTAATTGTAAGTCCTTTTAAAAAATAATAATGGAAATGACAGATGTGATATTTAATATAAGAATAGTCAACTGGATTACAAGACGACCTTATGAATTTAGTTCATTACGATCCGATCCAAAAGACATCAATCCAAAGGTTGGAATAGGGCTCTTTCAATTTAGCGTGGATAGTTCTTACATCTACAGTCGAAGTGGTAATTAAAAAAAAAAAGAGACTAAAGAAAAAAGAAAATTCTAAAAGAAAGAGATAGATAGTATACCGAATGTATTATGGCTATGGCAAGTGAAATCACTCGAGTGTCATAATGTCATTGTATTCAAAAATCAGGTACGTCAAGGTTTGTGGAACCCCCTGGAAGCTCACATGCTGGCTGTGATTTGCGGTGATAAAAATCTACACTTTTTACAACCCACTGACGATGGAGAAGCTGAATTGATCACAGCTCGTGTACCCTTAAGTAAGCTCCATTTTTTGTTATCGCTGGGTTTTTGAACCTTATCGTAATTTTTTTTTTTTTAGATGAATTTTCTATTAAAAGAGCTAAATGGAACTCCAATGGTGATTCATTACTGATGATGGACTCTGAATTATTTTGTTTAGCCGTACTTTAAACCGAAAAAAAAAAAAGTTTTTACCCCAGATTTACAAAAAATTAAAGCTCCCCTTTGTTTGGCATGTTTTATTTTTTTAGGTGATGGGTATAATACAATTTTTCTTTAAACATGCTTTTGGAGAAAGTCGCTATGGAACTTTTCAATACCGGAACAGAATTGATCAAACAAATGTTCTTCAGGCAAGAAAGTAGATCTGAAATGCCATGTATTTTCCTTTTGTCCGAAGCCAGAACCTATTATAATTATTTTAAAGTTAGATGTGGGTAACCATCGTGAGAATTTAAGTGTAGGGGGGGGGGAGGTTACGTACCTGGTACGACACAAACACCAGTAGCTTCCAACATGGCATGAGAATAATAAGCATCGGGTGCAAGACCTTCTTTAGCAGCAGCATCGACTACCTTTTGAGAAAGTGTGACTTGAGGGAAAAGGTACATGGAACCTTGAGCGGATTGGCAAGAAACACCTTCCATCTTGTTGAAGACATCTTCCAATTTCTTACTACGACGACGCAAAGATTCATAAATGGTCTTGATTTCGTTACTGTAAGACTCATAAGAAGCTTCACCAACACGAGGAGGGTTACACATCAAATCTACCAAAATTTGACCGTGCAAATTGGGACAGAGAGAAACAGAAGACATCTTGTAGATTTGTTCGAGGACTTGACTATCCAAATTGACACATTCAAAGTAACCACCACGACGACCACATTCACCTACCATACCCTTGGAGATGGAATGGAAAGAAACTAATTCAACACCTTCCTTGACTTCAGCAGAGGGATGATCCATTAAGGCCTTCTTGAAACTGACAAAGGGTCTGGTTTCAGGTTCATAAATGTTAGTTTGATACACTTCATCAGCCAAAAGTACCAAACGTTGTTCATAACAGAAGGTGATGATTTCTTTCAAATTCTCAGCGGTAAGACATTGACCAGTGGGGTTACCAGGATTGATGATGACAAGGGCCTTGACATCAGTTCCTTGTTTACGAGCACTGGTGACAGATTCTGTCAATTGAGCAATATCAAGACTCCAACCGGTAGTTTCATCCAAATAATAATTGACGGGTACAGCACCGTATAAAGCCAAACTAGCAGAATAAAGAGGATATTGAGGGATGGGGATCATGATACCAGAGTGTTCATTTTCGGTCAACATACTCAACAAGGTTTGGACACCGGAAGAAGCACCTTGAGTCAAAAAGATGTGAGAAGCGTCTGAGGCATGACCACCATCACGCTCCTTAATAAATTGGGCTACGGTGTCACGAATGTGGGGTACACCTTGAGAATGAGAATAGGCACCAACACTACCGATGGATTTCAAAAGAGTCTGGGCACGAGTAATAGCGTCACTAGGATATAATTGTGAAACAAGAGCGAGGTTCTCCTTTTTCAACAAGTCGGGATTATCACACAAAGATGCAACCTAGATAGATAGTATATGGTGTTAGTCATCCCTGTATATGACGAATCAAATCCTATGTATGCTTACCTGACGGAAGAAGGTGATGGGAGTTTGGTTCAATTGTTGAGGGTTACCAATGTTACAACTGACCACTCTATCAAAGGCATACTTTCCTTGTCCCTTTTCAAGATCACTACGGATCTCCTCAGCACGGATAGCCAACTTACCACGCACAGCATACTCTACGTTCTTGATGAGAGGGTTGATAGTGTTGATGTTCAAAATTCTTTCCTTGGCAGCAACAGTCATTTTTATATAGTGTGTGGGGAAGAGAAGATACCGAAAAAAAAAGAGGCGTGATAAAAAAAAACAAAAGGAAGATCTTTGGGTCCAGGAACGGGATTTTATACTAATTTTTTTTTTTTTTTTTTTTAGCTCGGTTTATTGTGTGTCATAACGTTTTGCCATGATTTTAAATGCCCGTCGTTGTGTGGGGAAAACTTATCCAGTAATAAAAAAGGTAACCTTTTGTATACCCCTCCATTGGGTCATTTGACTCCACATTTTTAAGGTACTGGACTCTTTTTTTTTTTTATAATTATTTACCTCATTATAAAAATAATTACATAAACATGCCATTTATTTTAAATGAGAACACGTATTGTTGATGACAAATATCAAAAAATCACTTATATTTTGTCGAGCAATGAAAAGTAATTTTTGCTTCGAAACCCTTGCCCTTTGCAAGTGGATCAATAAAAAGTTATTTATTTAGAATGGGCTCAAAAAATCATCTAGATGGAAGCCCAAAAATGCAGTAAAAGATGACTTCAAATTTAATATAGACTAACGAGTCATGAAGACTATACATACATCTATGTATAAGGAGAGCATAAATAGGCAGTTTATAATCTTTATTGTTTATTTTAAAATTCCGTGATTGATATCGTTAGGAATTTAGTGATACTTCTTAAATGAAAGGGACTGATTAAGATTATTAACGAACTTACGTACTGCTATAATTTAATCCAAGAAATAACTGGAGGATCAATTATGGTTTTGATAGCGAGTTACTAGAATGCAAACATTAAGCAGCAAAGATTATAAAAGTGAAAGCGACTATGGTTATTTATAACGACTTCTTATTAAAAGTTTAGAAATAACGAAATCTAATCCCAGTGCGAATGATGAGCTTTGTATTAGATATAATATGAAAAGTATTGAACAATGAAAAGGCCGAGGGGAACACAAGAGAGATTGTTATTAAAACACTACAGGTTTTTAATCGAGATGTGTTTACAACACGTGTAACGCCAAATCAACTCAAATTGGCAGCAACAATACTTTTAAAGGATGTCCGTTGTTATTTGATCCTTCGTGTCCGTCAAAGTGCATGCTATCGCCCATTTAGAAATATAATTATTTAGCAATGGTGATGGGGAAATATACCATACAACTGCATGAGTTTAATGTATAGTGAATTTGTCTAAATGTTTATTGATTATAATATAGTTTAAATGGAGTAAGTTTTTTTTTAAAAAAAAACAGAAATTAACTGTGCCACGGCATCTTTTATGTCTGATGTGATGATTTTGATTTCTTTGTCGAGATTGTCAATACGAACGATAAAATTAATGCCATCGATGATTTTGTAACAGACTGTAAAAAAAATGCTCTCCCTGTTGAAGAGGTAGAGTAAACTCTTCCGTGTAATTGGTATTGAGAGTTTTGAGTTATTGATATATTTTCTGGAAAATATATGTTAGAGTGGTCTATGGCGTTTCCGCTGTTGCTTGAAAATTCTTCATGGCGTCTCACGAAATTACTGGGATCGGTGATGAAAAGAAAAGGAGGTGTGTGAGAGTCAATTATCTCGTTTGTCGCGGTTACCATCCCTTTAAAAATCAGTTTTGTATGTGCAGGGGAATTTCTTCTCCCTGACAACTAAATGATGTAAAAGAACGGAACAAAATTCTTTTTCTTGCTCCTCCTCCGAGTTATACTCTTGCGTCTCAAATAAAAAGTCTCGCATCAAGCCATCAATGTCCATAAGATCTGCGAAACGTGTATCACTGATGTAATTGTGTTCGTGGGTTTCAGAGCAGTGATGGATACGGCTCACGTTGTCTTTAAATCCTCCGATTCGTGCTTTAAACTTAAAGCACATGTTGTTGAAGAACAACATTAGACTCACCGTCCGTAAACTGGGGTGGGCAGTCAACATCTGTGATGCAACTGGGTATTCTCCAAACCCCCCCCCCAAGGCAACTGCCCGTTGAATCCATCTCGCTGCATTGTTGCAGTGAATACACTTGTTCATAATCAATTTCTGCTCGACAGGGGGTCTTAATTGCTTTTTGTACAAAGCGCAAGCACCATTGACACACGTTACTGATCCTTGGCATTTCTTAACGACTTGTTGCTCGTGTACATGATGGCCATCTCTCTTACTTCTGTTCATTGCCCACCCAATAATAAGTCGAAACCCATAAACTTTTGGGTATCTTCCGAAAAGCGTGCAGGGGAACTCCCACCAATGCAGTCGAAAGTAAATTGAGTTTTAGAAAAAGTTACTTTGACAAGTTTAAAAAAACGAGGAAATGTCTAAAACTCCGTATTTTTTTAATTCGTATTTTTTTAGAACCACGTGATAAGTTTTTACGTCGATTGACATCCTATGTCGTCTAAACTTCATAGGATGATCGATTTTTGTTTTCCATAAAACCTGCTTCACTGTCATTACAAGATTCTACTGGAACGCAGATATATATTCGCTTGAACTCAATCCTATCGAGATGTTTTGGAAAGCGCCCAAGGACTGGATCAGAAGAAATGAATTGATAGATACAGAAATACTTTCTTCAAGAGTGATTGAAGACAGCGAGGATGTTCCTGTTAAACGAATACAAAATTTTATCATGCACTTGATTGATATGTGCCCTAAATGCTTGAATAAAGAACCTTTGTAATCATTTTAATATTTGGTCAAATTATTTTCTTAAAAGTGGGCAATTTATTTATTTATTAAAATGCTGGACATATTAGTTTCAAACACTTGGCCAAATTAGTTTTATTCTTTTGGGCAATTGAACTTCACACAAGTGTCCAAAATTATTCAAAAAAGCGGGTAGTGTTTTCAAACATCCGGTAAATTGAGAGTGGAAGCACAGTACAGTTGTTTCGACAGGTAATTAAGACAGTAGATTATCGATTGATACCTGAGCTGCGATATCATAACCTTGTAAGACTTTGGATCGATATTAGCTATGGGCTGAGGCGTAGTAAATATAATCGATAAACAATAGGCTTATGTCAAGATGACATAATTGACTAATATTTTTGGTTTCGAAAAAAAAAAGGACTCATCGTTTCTTCTTTGACCAACTTATTAGCTGTTTTTTGTATCAGTTACTATCCCTACAGGATTAAATCCTCCATTCATTTATCTCGTCCTCCTCGTCCTCCCCCCTCCCAATATAAAGCATTACATGATGCATACGTATATAATATAAAAGAAAATCCCCTTATCAATTACTTTATTATGATTACAATTATTATGACTATGCTATTATGATGATGCTGATGAGAATATTGACGGTAAATTATTATTGAGGAGCATCGGGAGTTAAGATGATGGTGTTTCAACAGGCACTCTACGACATACAGGACACGAGTTATGAGACTCACATAACCACCTATCTACACACTCGCGATGAAAGACATGATGACATTTCAACACGCGTACTGGTTGTTTATTTTCAAACTCATCCAAACACACCAGACACGCTTCCACATCTTTTTTCATTTGATCCGACCAATCCAATACAGGGATGGCAGCATCCACAGCCGCTTGCGTGGTGGTGCAAGGTCTGGCAGGTCCCAATCGATTACTTAACCATAGTAAATCTTCATACGTTGGGTTGTCATCCATGGCAGAATAGGCGTTGGCGACGGATGAAGAGGATAGGATGGTGGTTGTACTATTCATCACATACACGACCCATTGTCCACTCGTAGGTTCCGGACTAGTAGGATTGATATTTGGATAATGGCTCATGATAGTATCCGTGGAGGAATGACTGGATACTTGGGATCGACGTCTCCTCAAGCCTAAGAATCGATATTGCTGTGATCCTGCTACTTGTCCCGTTGGTGATGCTGAGAATGATTGGGATGAAGGTGGTGGAGGTAATGGTCTTGTTGGGGGTGGTAAAGGTGGTGGAGGTAATGGTGTAGTAGGAGGTGGAAAAGGTGGAGGAGATGATGCTATTGTAGGAGGAGTTGAAGGTGATGATGCTCTTGGAGCTGGTGGAGGTGGTGAAGGTGATGACGTTGAGGATCGATATTCAATCACCAGTATATGCATTCTTCTTGTGGTATTTAAAGAAGCGGTCGTTGACGACGTTTGTTGTTGCTCCATTGTTCCTGCTCCTCCTACTGCTGCTGCTGCTGCGGATTCGCCTTCCATGGTAACAGTGCTTGCGCGAATTGGTATTTGTAAATACCTTAACATACTACTTCCGTTATCGGTATCTCGTGATAAGAATTCATTCCAGGAGGTGGTAGAATCCGATAAAGAGGTTACGCTTGTTCTTCGACTACTACGACTTTGTGCTGTGGTCACCGGATTTTGCTGTTGGTGGTGCAGTAAAAAAGGTGGACCAGTTGCAGCTGCTGCAGCTCTGGCGGCTTCTTGTGTTGCTTGGCGGACTGAAGAAGTGGTGGTGGAGAAAGTATGCAAGGTAGCTACTGATCTTTGACCTTGATAATACCTCTGTTGCTGCTGCTGTTGCTGTTGTTGCTGCTGCAACTGTTGTTGTCCAGAACGCCGATTGGGATGTGTGGAAAGTCGATTTGATATCCTTCGAAAAAAAGAAAGTGGTCGATTGGAACGCATTGAGGCGGAATGTAAAGTACGAGTAGACGCATTGTCATGCCGACTACTTGCTGCGGATGGTGATTGCCCCATTGCTTTCTTTTTCTACAAGATAAAGCCTTACTTGAACAGAAAAAGGAGTGATAAAGAATAAAATAAAATAAAAACTTGCTTCAAACAACTTAACATATCACTGGGCGTATGCTGTTGTAGGCACGTGACCTAATTAACCATTTTTAGTCTGTCTGTTTCAATGTTTAAGCGTTCTTAAAGTGGTTGAATCAAATGTCCTTCTTTTTCTGGTGTCATCATTTTCCCTTATTTTATGATAGCGACGCAGAGTCACCACATCCCAGAGAGTAGTACTTCTTTTCACTCCGTTCAAATTTAATTTTTTGAGTTACCAGTAGACTGGGAGAAATTGCTTTACATTTTTACCAGGAAAAGATTAAAGTAAGCTATCTCGATTACTGGCAGGTGACATTGATAAAACAATAAGGAGTGGAATATTAGTGAGCCCATAAAATTATAGAATAATAATTTTAAAAAATTTTATATAAATCTATTTGTGTACATCTCAATCTCTTTTAGTGTGTGAGATAAAATAAAATTATACTCACACTCTGAATGCGATGACGTATAGCGTGTTCCTGAAATCAAAGACCCCCCTATGAAGTTGTAAATAGGACTTTTAGATACCTGTCATTTTATGTCTGTTTCCAAATTCATTTGGGAAATTTGCATGGCTTGCATAAAATCAGAAAAAGGTTGGGATTTATCAACCTGTGGCTTCATTCATGATAACAAAAACGTGGTAACCAACAAACAATACAGAAAATTGCGTTTATTCCCCCTTAAAATAGAGTTAAATTATTTTAAATGAAGGGAAAAAAAACAAATTGTAACTCTGTTTGTCATATTTGATATCAATGTTGGTGACACATAGTACAGTCAGAATGAGGGCATTCTAATTCAGTGAAGCACATGGCGTTATTCCTCCCTTATTCCGTGTGTGTAAATGCCAATGGGGGTGGCTTAATGATAGCGTATATCAAAATGTTAAACGTACTAAAATACACGTTTTTTGTACATATATTTTTTATTCATTTTTAATGTGGTTCACTGCATGGAAATTCAGAAAGTCCTAACTCATCTTCATTTTCTTCCGCGAAATAATCATTTTGTGATGGTTGAAAAGGATATTTTTTCTGTTGCTGTTCCATAGAGACCAAACGATCTCGTAGATCCATACATGCATTTTCCCATCTCATCTTTTCTTCCCACACCTCACGCAATTTTTTATACGCCAGTCCACTAATCACCTCAAAATGATCCAGCGCATTTTCAAGAGCGGCTTCTGCACGTTTAGCTCGTTGTTCAAAGTCGTTATCCTGTGTCTCTGCTTGTGACTGTGCCTGTATTGATGCCACTGGTGCTGCTGATGATGCTTCTGCTTTGACAATAGGTGGCTGTGTGATATGAGTGTTTGGCTTTTCTGTTTGGACTTGCATGTGTCTCACTTTCCGTTTAGTGTGATCACGCACATGTTCATTATCCAAGGCATGTGTGATACCCAAGGCGCGTACATGTTCAGTAGCTAAACCAGCAGCTATCTGATCACTGGGTATTTCTATCTGCGACACTTTCATGCGTTCCAAACGTTGTAATAAAGCAGCTTGGATGGTGTCCATCTCATCAGATTTTAGAGACGGCTCCGGATTTTTTAATACTTTACGTGTACCTGCTGCATTACTTAGTTGACTTTTGATGGAAACGGAATGATGCAGTGAGCCACTGTATAGACTGGATTCTCTTTTCTTGTTAGGTAAAATGGGTTCACCCTTGGTTGTACGTGACACAAAACTGGTTTCAAAAGAAGGAGATCGACTATTGCCAGCACTTTTAGAGACCGAAATGAGGTCGACGACGTAATTTTTCCTTCTCTGTCCTTCACTGCCATGATATGATGTTGGGTTGGTTAGCGTAGAAGAGGAAGAGGTGACCGGTAAAGAAATAGTGCTGGAAGGAATGGATCGTGTCGAGACAGAAGGTGTAGGTACGGGCGGCGGTTGCGATGGTCTCTTGGGCTTTCGAATTCGGGAGAAGATATTATGACTGGATCGTTCCGTAGGAACACCTCGTTGAAATTCTTCTGGGCTGGTCTTAAGAAATTCTACGAGCGCTTGTGTAGCTGTTTGCTTTCCTTTGCTTACTTGTAAGAAATCATCCATATCCAAGTCATCTTCGCGGTACACGCTCATTGCTCGGGCATCTTTAGGCTGGAAATTGGCCTTCTTCATCTTTGTTTATTGAGAGAAAGAAAGAAAAATAATCAAAAAAAAGGGGATCTTATAAAATAATAGGGGGCTAATTATAACAACAACACTGGTGGATAAGGAGAGACATGTCCAAGTTTAAGTGACTTGCACGGTGTTTGAAAAAAAAAACTTTTTAAAATGGACATTTTGTGTGCATTTGTATTGCCACCATTCGCAGGCTTTTAAGACTAAATATTAAAATAATTACAAACCTTTAAAGAACATATCAACCGAATTTTCGAATATAGCTTTGTATGGGTTCACCGGGAAACATTCTCGCTGCCTTCAGTTACTCTTGAAGAATGGTATCATTACATCTATCAATTCACTTCTTATCCGGTCACTCGGCAATTTCTGAAACATCTTGATAGTAATGAGTCCAAGCGGATAAGGAGGAGTGTATAACGTTAGATAGCCCCTCTCTCAAATAATAGGGTCATTGTCAGGAGAATAAATCATTGTAGTGCCCATATCAACGATAATGCCGTGATCTACCTTTTCGAGTCAATAGTTGCAATAATATGTGTCTCTAATTCGAAAAAAATAAAATGACCGGATACAATTATCGTTGATTATACCTAGCATGGTTATTTCTTATGTGATTTTGCTTTAACTATCACTGAATGTACATAGGTCTAACTGCCTGCCAAATTGCGCCCAATTGTAGTGACATACTAGAGCTTTGTTGACAAATCAGCGATTCTAATAGATTTATCAATCTTTGCAGAGCAATCTCAATATATGCTACAGCTCAGTGTAATAATATTAACAGTAAAATATTTACATTAATATAGGCACTTAACAGCTCATTCTACCACCAGCTTGTTTTTCTGTTAAAATAATTTAGTATAGGACCAAAGTAAAAAAAATAATGATTAGTTGGATCATCTGGGTAAAGTGAACAACTTACTTTAAGTTTCCGGCTGATCATAAATAAAATATAAACAATGAATAGATTCAAAAGCATGATATGTCTCCTGGTCTTGGACTTCTTCTTTCTTTCCATGCTTTTCTTGACCTTTTTCTTCTCGGTGAGTGAATTGTGTGATGATATCTGCTGTGCTTGAAGTATGATGCTAAGAACCAAAATCTATCAGCATCAGGTTTACCGTTTTTGGTTTTTCTTATATAATATTTCAGTCGAGAAAATCTCCAATGATGGATTTACTTCGTCTTTTAAGTTCAGGAACCGTCCGCAATAAGATATACAATTTGACAGGATTAGCAGTCTGTGCAGATGATCATCAACAAGCTTTACTGATATGGTGTGTCCCTAAGCCTGAGATTATGTTGAAAAAATTAATTTTGTTCGTAGACATAAACAATACTTCAAGCTTTCCAACGGATGCATATTCCGGTACTGTAGATTGGAACTTCAAAAATATCTGCCCAAACTTTGATCATGGCATCTGCTTCAGATTGTGCTGGTTTGAGAGGGTAAAGATTGACTTGTGCTTAATAATCTTGTCAAGACTAAAAATTAAAATATAAAAAAAAAGTTGTCATTCATTCATTAGCAATGGTTAATATAGCATATAGACTTAATAGACTTAGGTCTCTTGTTTATTGGGGAACATTGATAGGATATATGGATACTTACCTAGGCCTTTCTTTTTCTATAATGTAGGAGCTCGATATTTTATGGCTGGGAACGATGAGTTAAGTTTAGTGGCAGTAACATTCGGGAAGTACCTCTGGCATTCGTCGTTATTGAAAGTAGGTGAATATTTGATAGGAGACATTATACGATCCTCCTTATTCGCTAGATGAGCCCGATCCTATCGAGATGTTTTGAGAATCACCGAAGGACCGGATCAGAAGAAACAGATTATTGATAAAAGTAGAAATACTTTCTTCGAAAATAATAATTGAAGACAACGAAAAGTTAGACATGTTATCTTTAAACGGTTAATTGAGAGTGGGGTGCGAATTGTGCATGTATGCAAGAAATACTAAGAACACGAACTGTTATTAAAAACAAACAAACAAACAATTTATGCATGCATGCAATGTATCAAGTCAGTTGTTTATATGAAACGCATTGTCGATTGAATATGTATGCGTGGATGTTTTTAATTTAAATTTTTAAATGGTCTAACTAGAAAATTGAAATGGTTTTGATCTTTTCGACAAATGTTCATCATCAGATAAATGCATCATGGAGTCGTCATCATCCATCAGCATGTATGACATATCTTTTCTTTTAAATTGATTAATCAAGGAAAGATCTCCATCCAGTGCACTTTCTCTCGATGTGTAAATACTGGGAAGTGCTGCAAACGAATCGGCTAAAGTAGATGTTTCCACTTCGTCACCCATGAACTTTGTTTCCTTGATCTGTGTCAATTTTTGTGCCAGACTGGAGAAACGATGAAAGGAGGCAATACGAATTGCTTTATCAATCGAACCTAAACTATGAAGTGCATTTGCTAAATCCAGTGCACGCGAGACTTTTTCAGATTTACATGCTAAATTGATTAATTTTAACAATGCGATATCCATTTCACTATCAGCTTCTTTAAATGCATCCACATAGTCTTCTTCGGCATTGGTCGCTTCCGCTTCATCCTTTTCGTGAAGTTTGCATGTATTCACACGTAACACTTCTTGCTCTAATCCACCTACCTCTGTGTTCATTTCTAAAAGTGGTAATTGTAATGGGATATCCTTGACAGGTGGACGAGGGAAGAATGGATAAGGATTATTGCCACGAAGTACAACACACATCAATCTATCGCGTAGTAAGCCAACAGGCCAGTATTTCTCGGTCTTTTCCAGTTGTGCTGCATGTGCTTTACCATCAAATACAGGTACCCAACATCCTTGATCTGGTCGACGTTGACGTTGTAACACGCGCATCACACCCGCTGTATCAAACACTGCTGCTTGGTTTGTCTCTGAAAAACCAACCCAGCATAATTCACTATCGGGTGTCACATGCACATGATCTCTTTGTAAGATTTCGTTGGAGTCGGTATTCAACAAGATATAATTCAAGTTTTGTTGGCCTGTGAATGAAGGTCCAGTTGAATAAACAATCAAGGCAAGATCTACCATGGCTGCCATTGTCACGATATTATCCAAGGAGAACACATGGCGTTGCACACCTGACGTGGTAAAAATACGGACATAACCCAAGGAAGTGATAGCAATCACAGATACACGATTCACAGCGATACTAACCACATCTTCTCCAGGAAGCATATGATGTGTCCAATCTTTTTCTGCACCTGTATTATTTGGTCTGTAATATAATATCGAATTCACAAGTGTTGTCTCTTCTTCATCTTCCGATTCACTCTCTTCTCCATCCGCATTTAATTTTTTACCCTTATTGACGGCAGTTTTACTCTCAACGGCATAGACAGTACCAGCAGTACTGATAGCTGCCATTGAATAATTGTTGGGGTCGGTGAAATGGAAGTTACGATAAGCGGTTTGATCGTGAAATTCCACGTTGATGATAGAATGTGCCTCTTCAAAGATGGTGGTGATAATACCTACTAGATTGTAGGCCATATATCTTCGTTCACCTTGAGCTGGATCAAAGGATTTATTGGTTTCGGGTTTATGGTAGGGTGTCTCTCCCGGTTGAAAAGTGGTAGGAGGATCAAATGCCAATTCTAATTTTTGTTGACGTTTGATTAAAGCTTGATTGTTGGCATTATTTACATTTAAGGTCTGTTGTGTCTTCACCCGACCAAGGGTAGCAGCAGCCTCTTCGGGTGTTTCAACGTATCCAGCACCATCATCATCGATCACGAAATCGGCTACATCCTCTCCCATATCTCCAAGATCCTCTCCCTCATCGTCATCGTCAAATAACATATTAACATCATCTCCAAGATCATCGTCCATCTCGTCAGATGCTTGTGAATGCACCAATTCATGCAACTCCAATGTTTTGGCGGGTTGCTCTTTGACAACACGCATTTTAGCAGGATGAGGTAATTGAGATTCTCTGGTAGAAATCACGTTATCCCAAAACTTGATTTGACCATAGGCATCTGTCACCAATAATTGATTTCCGTCGGGCTGCCAATGAAGACTAGTGATCTCCGTAGAATTGACATCGGAGGTGATTTTGGTTTTGGTCTTCGTATCCCACACCACTAATAATTTACCTTTACATGCTGAAGCCAAATAGTAGCCGTTGGGTGACCATGCTAGTGTTACAATATCTTCCGTGTGTCCGCCTTCTAAAGCATACGAGAGTTTCCAGATCCCCGAAGTAAAGACGCGAATGTCTTGGTTGGTACCAGGGAAAGCAAACACGGTACCGTCGGGATTCCATGTTACGGTGGATTGTAAAATAGAGTCCATGCTAGATTTATAAATAACAGCTGCGAGTGTATTGACTATACGAGGGGCGGATTCGTGAGGTCCTACAGCCCAAATGAAAACATGACCCTGAACATCGGAAGAAAGCATGTAGTTTCCTTTAGGATCGTAACAGATGGATTTCACTGTGTGTTTGTGGCCTTTTAATAAGACAATTTTTGAATTATCTGCTACTAAAACCACACGAATATCGTTATCACTTTAAAGATAGAAAAGAGTTAACAAGAGTTGGTTGTGTTGAATGGTGATTGTCTTACTCTGTGGCAATGGCGAGTTTGGTTCCGTCAGGGTGAAAAGCCAAGCTTCGAATAGGAACAGTGCTTCTGACAAGAATTTTATCGAAAGAGTGTACGGTGTTATTGTTGTATAATAAGACAAGACCGTCCGTTCCGCCACTTGCGAATTTAGTTTTGGAAGAAGCAAGACAAGTGACGTCCTCAGTATGTTCTGTAATGTGTGTCTTTACATAGTCTTGTTCTCCAGGTGCTGCTGGGTACACTTTAATACCGTCTGTCGCACCTCCAACAACAGCCTCTCTAACAAGGAAATGTGTCAATATAAGTCAGAGGACAAGAAGACTCCATTTTTGCTAATTACCTTCCATCAAGTAAATAACAAGCAACAGTTAATCCATCGGGAAATCCATAAATGGGTTTGATTGATTCAAACTTCATAATGTATAAGTGGTAAGTATAAAAACACGTTTGCTAAATATTTTTTTTTTCTTTTTCCCCTTTTCTCGTTCTCTCTTAAACGCGAACACAGTCACGACAATGTCTACACAGCACCGTGTTTTTAAATTTTCCTACGTGTTTTCAAAATTCACGTGATTTTTTACTACCTCCACCTGCTTGCATCAGGTAAAGTCCATCATGATGAAGCTTTCTCATCTTTCTGAAGTTGATTCGTATTAACATTTATGTCTATTCTAATCTACCTAATTCTCGGTCCTATTTTATTTAAAAGACTATTTCACAATTAGTATATTTTCCAACTTATTGATAAGTGCAGCATCGTACATGAAGATATTTTGATAGGATGATGCTAGTCTTTCAGCAATATTGTGAAAACTATCTGAAACGCAGCATTTTCCTCTATAGTTGATTGATTATTTCATTCTGATGTAATAATCCACAGTCCTTGTTTATCATTCTTACAAACAAAATACGCCCACTCACTTTTTCTTTTCTTTTTCTTTTTCTTTTCATCTTTAGTCAAAATATCAAGTTTTAAAAAAAGGTTAGTTAATGACGTTTTTTATTCTCCCAAGCAAATGCTAATCAATTCCAAAAAAATATAAAAACGGGTCTTTATAGACAAGATAGGCTTCGTTTTGATTTTCCTAGGACATGGGTCACTATTACGTTTGCCCCACAGAGCACAGCGACAGCACCAGAAACGACATTAGATGCATTATCCTGTGGACGCTAAGAATAATCTCCCGTCTGTTATTGTGGAGATCCAGAAAAATCTTTCGCATGAATTCTTAGCTCGTATTACGAGATATGGCCTGAATGTTTTTGACGAAACAAAAACCTTTCATTCTGTAATGTTATTGCATCACAAATGAAGAATATCATCCACTACGCCAACATAAACGATGAATTTAGTCGTAAACGAGTCATTAAATATGCAGAGGATGGCATCAACTTTGCCAAAAGCTTCAAGAAGCGCTGTGTGGGGAAAGGCAGCTCCCCCTCGGTCACTCCAATTTAAATCAACGAATCTACAGACCTTGTATTCGTAAATTCATTCATTGCAAGCAATCAAGGATAAATGAAATGGTTTGTCTGCTACGAAGAGGGAATCCAAGAAGGTCTTTATGAAATATTTGGCTCTCCTTCCAACGCTTTAAATAGATAAATAGATAGTACTTTCTTGACATAAATAACTTTTATGACTCAAGTAATTACTCAGTTTAAGTGTTTGCTTACAAAGATTGATTGAAACAATTGGAAACTTTTAATTGAGTCTCAACAATATTACAAAATGAGCTCTTCTGCTAAGTTTAGTCAGCTAAAAACTCTAGGTTCCTTATTGTATAAAAATGATGAAATTAAAAATTTCGGCAAGTGCTGCGATCAAGTGGACCAGATGGCAAGATTGTGTCAGTAAGAAATACTGGCCGTAGACCAATGCTGGTCAGAGGTGGGCAATTAATCTTTACACAAGTGCTTAATAACATTGGGATGGAATATGTCAGGATGCGTAGTAAAAGAAAAAAAAAAGACAAATTTGTATTTGCACCAATGATAAGCAGGATCGGACAAGCAATTGTACACAAACAAAAATCAGAAATCATGCGATGTAAAAAGTCTGGTTCTCCCTAAAGAGAACCAATTCAAAAGGGAGAAGCTGTATGAATATGTTTTTGTTTATTTATTTATTTTTTTGACACGGTAGATTTTGCTTTTACAATTTGTATATAATATTTTACTCCCAAGATTCTTCAACGGTTTCTCTTACTCTACGAACATATTCCTTTCTATTTTCACGGTAGAGATTAGCTGCTTCTGCATTGGCCGGTGAGTTGGGATTAGGATCGTTAAAGAGTGATTGAATACTGGTCAAGATGGCTGCCACATCGTAAGTTGGACTCCAACGGTTTTGTAAAATATCAAGACAAAGTTCGCCATTGGCATATACATTAGGGTGAAACATTTTTGATACAAATTTCACTTGAGGTGGTTTGTTGGGCTAAGTCTCTTTCCTGTTAATCTCTCTTCATTACTTGTCTCTCCTTTCCTTCCCTACTTACATAAGTTTCATCGAATTGTAAAACTAGTTTGAATGTACCATCTTCGAAGGGGGTATCAGCTAATAAAAGAGTTGTTAACACTTTGCTTTTCTCTCATGCAGAAAGAAGGTAAATTTACCAGGACCAAAGATTACTGCATTCCACATCATGATATTATCTGGACAAGGTGCACCTATATATAGACATGAAGACATTAGCCTCTGCTGTTTCCACTTTTATTATTACTATTATTCAATCTAACCTGATACACCAGCTATTAAGAATGATATAAAGGATTAGTTCTAAAACATGAAATGCAATCAAAGAAAGCTTTACCTGGGGGATCACTTTGTAATCTCTTAAAGTCGCGCATGAGTCTTCTTCTGGTAGGTGTAGACATTTTTCAATTTCTTATTTGTGTGTATAAGAGAGAGAGAGAGAGAGAAAATAGGGATAACGCTTTTTTTTTATTTTTTAAAAAAAGCCTTGTTTGCTGTGACGTTCTTTCGAAAACCATGTGCTTGATTTGATTATAAATATCTTTTTTGTTAGATCATAATCAATGCCAGCTATTTTTTTTTTAGAGCTCTTATCGTCAACAGGTATAATAAATCAACGAACTCCGTTGAGTGGACATAATATGTCTACATCAAACGACAATTGTCCCTCCCCGCTTTGATCCCCGAGAATGATGGGTGAATTGTACAACAACCTTCTTTTCTTTTTGCCCTCTCCACTAAATGTCTTTGGATGAAGGATGATAATTCGTTTTTGAATACCGACACTGAAGGGGGTCCAGGATCGTCAATCTCTCCTGTACCTCGTTTCATGCTTGTAAATGAATAATTTTTAAGACGCTAACAAAAAAGCAGGCTTTATTTGTATTGTGGGAGACTAATAAAAGCCACTTTATAAACTTTAATAAGAAAATAAGGGGTAACTCCCCGTATAAAGGCTCTATCAGAAATCTTATTTGCTTTTCTTTCTCTTTATCAATTAATCCAAAATCAACTTACGGCTAAACATTCCGAAATGCCTGCATCCGTTGCAACTAATTTGCTCGAGGTGTCAGATCTAGATAGCAATAGTGCTATACCAATTGGTCAATATTCTGGAAAGATTGGATATAAAGACCATTATAAATATCCACATACTAAATACGATATTTGTATCGCAAGGTAAAGTAAATAATGACAGTGGTGATACTTAATATACTAATAATACGTAATGTCCCTACATAAAAGATATCTTTACATCATGTCATTCAGATATTCGTGTTATGGATGCAAGAAATCGTTTAGCGCTCATGACCCAGAATTTGTTAAACAGCTTCCTATTGCTTTACAAGAAGCTTTTCCCGCAATTTTGACTCACAAAGGAGCTGTATCGCGTCAGGTTGCTGACCTCCTTCGACCTTGTGTGCAGAATTCAGTAAGACCAGCGTGCTTCTCCAAAATTATAAGAGAGTCACATATGCCTGAGCATGACAGATTGGAGCTGGTTTATCTGGACAGCGTGCTCCTTAGAAAAGAAAAAGAAAGTAAAGGTGTTTGTGCGTTTTTTGCTACACAACCTGTTGTATACTCATTTGATAATCAATTGGCCTATGCTGGATATGTGCCTACGGCTACTTATTTCAGAACCTTATACACAAGCATCATTGAAAAATGGAAACCTTATATGAATAAGTTGCTTATGTTAACAGGTGGAAAAATTATCCGTGGCGACCATTCCTTTAAAATCGGTAAGCGATCTATTTATTATTTATCATTGAGTATATTTATGCCTAATTGAGACTTTCAATATTAGTAAACTACATTGCAAAGATTGACAAATCTAGTGCGTTTACAGCATTATATGTAGTAGTCAATGAAATCGAAGAAGTTCGTTTAATGTCACTTGTTTGTACCTTCAAAGCCCCGCTCCTATCTCAAATGGTCATTCGATAGAATGATGGAAGCCTATAACATGTATGGCCATGAACTGCCTGCGGTTTTTTTTTTACAGATGACATCCGTGCAGATAAAGGTTTTCTTGAAAGTGTCATTTCATCTTTGACTGCAGGTGTTCAAGAGCAGAGGTATGGAAATGAATCCAACAGCAATTCGGAAACACAATCAGAGATAGATTTATCAGATTTTGTAGAGGTCAAATATTTGACGCAATTTCATGAAATGGAACAATGCATTGCCGAATTAAATTAATAAAAATTATCCATCTCTGGTAACACACCCGCTGTATAATTTGACTTTGAATGACGAGAAAATCGACTCTTCTAGCAACGGAGTTGGTACAATACAGATTGCATACGACAAAGTAATTATCCTTCATGTTAGTAGCATCTGGATTACTATACCTATTTCTTTGGTTAACCGTTTAAAAAAAGAAATATTCTCAGAGTTGGAAAGCAAGCTTCTGCTATAAATCGTTTACTGGTGTAATTTGTGAGACTTTCTTAGGACTTGGACTTTTTTTGCAAACGTGCACTATAAATGAAAATGCTGAAAGCTATCCGAAGGAGCTGAGAAAAATTTAAAGTCTCTGACTGTCGAAGGTGGTTATCTCACTCAATGTCATACTTTCCAAAATGTATTTTTATTCCTTTGCAACTCACGAAACTCACGAAATTGAGCTGCGCTTGTGACTAAATCTTGTAACGGGATTATAATTGCATATCGGTTTTATAAATTTAACTACTTGTTAACCTTTTTCACTCTAATCTACTCTCTAATCTACAAGGAAACGTATAATCAAACGTAAAAATTGGGGTGTAAGAGGACTTACATTTTATATTTTAAACTGGCTTCTTGAAACACTTTGGTAGATATGTGAATGTTATTGGTTGGCAACTTCTGGTGTTTCTAAAATCAATTGGCGGTCATTTTATAATACAAATGCGTATAGATTGCACCAACCTTTAGTACTGCGCTGACTGTATTTTCGCGTTCCGTTACTTCCGTTACTTCCGTTACTTTCGTTACTTTCGTTACTTTCGTTACTTTCGTTACTTTCGTTACTTTCGTTACTTTCGTTACTTGCACGCGTTTTTCGTGTTTTTATGTTTCGTTGCATGCGTGTTTTCGCGTTTCATTACTTACGCTACCTACGTGAGTTCTTTCGTCTATTCGCGCTTCGTTACTTTCTTTACGTTTGTAATTTCATCTTTTCGGGATTCGAAGAGTAAATCTAGTAGGTTGCATTTAAAAATGATGAGAGAAGCACAAATCCTCTAAATGATTTTTTTGGGGGCTGAGGATAGAAGGTCGTGAACTTGACCGTTTTATTAATAAAAAAATGAAATTAATATTTAGATCAAAAAATGTGAGTAGTAGTGATTAGTCTAGAGTGAATATATATTTGTACAGTAGGCTAAATGATTCTGTTTCAAATGAGAACCACGTTGTTCAACAACAGCCAGCGTGCTAAGCGACTTGTTAGTATTGACTACGAGAGGGATACACTGTTGTCCAGCTGGTATTTTGTACAGAGGCTTGCGATGTCAGATAGTTATAACAGAATGTTAATTAGTAGGATAAGCTTTGGTAACTTTTCATAATTAAGGGGACATCTGTACAAAGATGGAATTTTATTATTAGAGAAAATATTGTGAGGCTACCAATAGCTTTATTACAAGGACTGTGTAAGCGAATATGAAATCAAATAGTTTTTTTATTACTCTTATTATCATTCGGTACTGATAATCTACTTATTTTGATTTAATTGGCTTCATTTGTATCCATAACTTCAATCAGTTTCTTTTTATAAAGCGTACGGTCAAAAAACTTTTCCTCATTGAATGCTGCAATATCAGAGATACTTCTGAATGTGTATCTATGATTTCTTTTAAAGAGAGAACGTGGATTGCTTTCATCAAGTCGAGCACGTTTTTTAATTTTTTGGGCCTCTTTTTTATCATTGTCCGGATCGTAATTTGTATCTGAATCATCTAGTTGTTCCTCCACACCATCAAACCAGATTTCTCTTTCTTTGACAAAACTTTGTCGTACATCACGAAGCTCGGAAAAGAAAGAATTACCGCAACGCGTAATGGCCCATTTTGTGAGATCTTTTTTAATCGGCAGATATCGCAACTTTGAGTCTTTGTGAAGCAAGTGGTTTATCGATCTCTTTGCTAAATAGAAAAGTAAGTATCACTTTCTTCAAAAATTTAGTCCAAATAAAAAAATTACGATAGCTTTTACCTTCCTCAGAGGTGTCATCTTGAAGTAAACTTAAATCAGGCGCCTCATTTAAAATTTTGTCCTCCGTATCCATGCGAGAGGGGTGATAAAAAGGGTGCTGTTTGGTCATCATCTGGAAAAGTACGATCCCCAAAGCCCAGACATCCACTTTTTCTGTAAAAAACTCGTTATTGAGAATCTCTGGTGCATGATACCTGTGATTGGTATAAACTGGTTAAATATAAAGGAATTAGGTTATAAAAAAAAATTCATTTTTACGCAGGAGTTCCATAATTATCTGGCCATTCATTTTTTTCTTCGCTGTACTTGGACAATCCAAAGTCTGATATTAATACTCGAGGACTCCGTGAATGGCTCGTCATGAGGATGTTGTCAGGCTATATATTATTATTAGGCCATTATTAATGAATACATTGTAATACCTTTATATCTACAGACAGGGTGTAAAATTTAGTTATTCATAAAAACAACAGTTCTGAGATATTACTTACCGCAATGGATAATCCCCTTTTGATGCAAATATTCTAAGCCTGAGGAAAGTTGGTAGAATATAAAGAAAATGGTTTCTTCGGGAATGATGCTTGTAGATTTAATAAACTCTCCAAGATTTCCCCCCAGGTATCTAATATGAGATGTCAGATAATTTATCCGCTGTATTATCATTTATTCACACTGACAATGGCATAAACGTGTACGTATTATTTTCCAATACAAAATCACTGATGATCGACAAAACATTTGCCTATATGCCATGTTAAGATTTGATTGAGGGTTCAGGGTTTATAACTTACATGTTTATTAGTCCTTAAAATTTTAAGTTCAGTCTGTAATGTACATCGTGCGGAATCGCTGATTGGTGTGTTATGGCGTTTGCATGCCAATTGCTTCCTTAACCTGCTCTCAACATTTGCTAGGTAAACTGTTGACTGACGACCCCAACCAATGCTTCTACCTGTAATTGACATCATCAACTTTGGTTTCGCGGGACAATCTGGATATAGAGGCTGTAGAAGAGAAAAGACATCAGCCCTTATTTTTGTTGAGCTAGGAATTTATAAATATCTACCACAAGGTATTTTTCTTCATACTCTACATTACGATCTTTGTCGTATGCTTGTATATAGAATAAATCTAAACGACATTTGATGAATATCAGAACAATATATATGCAAAATTAGCTTACTGATATGGGATGAGACAAATGTTAGTACACATGCTGGGTACATAATGGCCGTTTCCCCATCTCTTATAAAATCAAGATTCACTGATTTTAAAAAAAAATGTTAGCACTTCCTGTGTAGAATAAAAATTGAACTGTGTCAAGCCTACTATTAATGCCATTTGGAGATGTAACCTAGTTACATAAAATTTAGATCAAAGCAACAATAGCCAACAGTTATCAAACACTTACAGTTATTAAAGCTATTATGTTGCCATCCATAAAGCGCTGAGTGATAATGTCAGATTTAAGATCCCGCGCTGATTCATGTATGACTCTGTCAAATACGTACCGAAGTGATAACACAATGTTTGATTGATATAAAAGGTGAGTTGATAACCAAGTCACTTTTTTTTGAAAAAAAATTGTGAAAGATAAACTTTGTTAATAAACGTGTCCAAAAATCGAGTTCAAAAATAGTGTTTACGCAAAAGTTACTTTTTGTCGCCACTGCCAATAGTGAATGTTTTATCGAGGGGAATGGGGGTAACTACCACAAGAATACTTTAGTTGGCGTTGCATGCATTCTTTCTTTTTTACAATGCGTACAAAAATGGTCGGAATGATCATTAGCTCCTCTTAGAAACCCAAGGCCAATAACAGACACCATACTAGAATAGAGGACCTGTATGAAGAAGAAACTTTCGTTTAAAAAAATTGTGCCAGGCTGAAGAACTTTTTTGATCACGTGTTTTTAAAACACGTGATAATCACGTGATTTTTGATTTTTTTAATTGTAGTTGCTATATAATATTTTAAATTTAACAAAACATGAACAGCTTCCGTGGCGCAATTGGCTAGCGCGTCTGACTGTTAATCAGGAGGTTGGTGGTTCAAGCCCACCCGGGAGCGTTTCTTTTTTGTTTTGCTTGATTTGTTTGTGTAACATTTACGTTTGATCTCTTTTCTCCTTCGGCTGATGATACGCTTTTTTTATAGCAATTCTTTAGAGGAAAGTACTGATTGTTACCGATTTTTAACTTCTCCGTAGTATATTAATTTATTTGTTACTATATCACTTGTGAAATTTTTATTGTAATGTGAAGAGGATGATTGAAAGTTAGCTGTCTTGAGGTTTTTAAAGGCTTGCATTTGCGGTGAATACTATATCTTCATATCGTAAGGACATCAGGTTTAATGCAAAACTGAATCTTCGCGTTAGAATTACTTGGAGTTAATATGCTCTAGTTTATTGGCTGCAAGTGAATTATCCAGATGTAGGATCGCAGCAAATGATTGTACCTCAAGGAACTGTATATACTTAAGATTATGTGATTAAGAGATATATTGACCCGTAAAATTTTTAAACGCATTGTATAACTACTGTTTATAGATTTTTTTTATTTAAATATATACTAATAGAAATATTAATGGGATCAAAGAGATTCTCGGTCGATTCAATTATGTTCTAGTCCAATCTGCCCAATATTCTCTTTATGAACGTATTCCCTTCTTCACTTCATGTAGTTGGTAAAATTTAAGGTAATATTAACATTTTGATAAGTTGCATGATATTCTAAGGTTTTGCTTTATACATGTGTCTGTATCGTGAACGACTTTTGGTTGCATCTTGAACTAACACCCCAATTAATTTCAACTGCTAATATATTTTAACATGTCGGATGGATTTGTTTTTTTTTAACAATGAAGGTAGGACTTTCATTATATCGACTATTATAAATCAAAGCATTAATTAGTGGTGATAGGAGATTGCAGTCAAGAATGTTGATAAAATCAGAAAATATTGAACAAGTCTGTGTCCTGTTACAAAATATAAACTATGGGAAAGGACAATTCAAAAGACTTTCAGGTGTATATTCAAAGTACAAGTTTATGTAATAAAATGTCTTGAAACTTCTAAAATACGCCACTTTATGGCATCATGAGCGAGAAATCTGCTATCTCCAAACACGCCTGACCGCATCCAAACTACAACACTATTTAGAAAATAAATGTAATAATATTCTAATCGTATTTTGTCTCAAAGGCTTAATGTCTTCGTGTAAATGTAGCCTACAACTACCAACTCCTACAACAGGTTGTCTACATGGTGCTGTCACACTCACACTCACTCTCGCTGTTATTCCTGTAAATATCAGCTCCTCATCCACATATGTCAATATACTAACGAGGTCAACATTTGGAAAAACATATAAATCGCGTCATGATCATCAATGCTATCAATCAATTTACCAAAACATATGACGAGTCGATGACATCAACACCATTCATGGCACATTGATGGCATAAGTGTTGATACGTCTACTAAACATTTGTTTATAATGATTACTTGGCCAATCTAAAAGACTGAGGCCACAGAACAGTAAGTTGTTTAAAGGTTTGGGTTTGGTGGGCTGGTAAAAAGCCCCATCTATGCACGTGGACCTCTTTCTTTTAGTTTGAAGTGTGTCCTTAAGAGCTTGATGTATGCAAAACTAATTCGATGGGAGCGATTCCAGAGCGAAATAAATCGCTCTTCCATAATGATTACACAACTGACGAGCAATGAGCAAATTCATAGTAAAAGGATCGAGACAATTCCGAAAAAGAAATTGTGGTGTGACCTATTTATCCGGTCTTCCCTCATAGATCCTGAAAGATAACGAAAAAAAGTTTTTTTGTCCGAGTCAGGGGATTTTTTTTTCTCATAGACGAAATGAACAAGTAAACCAAAAAAAAATGTGTGTAGACGTAACAAAGGGCTGACCTTGTTAAACTAGATTCAGTAATGCTAATCTTTTACCGATCGGTAAACGAAAGCGACTTGAGGAAGAAAAAGAAGAGATCACTGCCTTTGGGTACGAATCGAAAATATACAATGACGAGGCAACAGCAGTTGCTATCGACAGTGAAAAGTACCTGATACCTTGGAAAACTTCCCACCTGCTCATGGACAGGTAAAGAAGAAGCAAAAAAGAAATATATATAAAAAAAAAAAAAAGAACGTGCAATAAACATACGCCAGATACGATGTGCGACACTTGTTGGATGAATTAGTGGAAGTAAAAGAAAAGGCCAAGCTTGAAGAGGAGTATGATATAGAGAGATACACGATGGAAGAAAAGTATGAATCAAAGAACAATGTAGGTGGGACAACGATTGCATATGATTACAATTGTGAGTACAAAAAGCACAAGCGTGTGGTTACAGAAATAGAAAACGAAATCATGAAAAAGTACAATACGCCTGAAGAGATGATTGTGGTAAAGAGTCAATGCAGCATAATGTCCTCCCATCTTTCTAGTTTATAGACTCTATATTTTCTATAGCCAGATAGCTATGCACAATTATCTATCATGGAAACGATATCCAAGGAGATTTGTCATGCAACGAATGGCAATCTATTAGAGATCCGAATTCAAGTGAAAAATGCAAGTAATGCATGTTATTCATTTTTAAACAAACAAGATATTCTTTATCCATTTTATAAGCACATCGGAAGCAACCGTTTTAGTGCTAATCTGGTGGATTATAGCGATAGCGAAGATGAGGAAGATGAGGAAGAGGAGGATGAAATCAAGGCACGTATAGATAAAACGGCGTTGATGATTATGAAATCACCGAATAGTGTGGCTCTTGAGGAATATCTACTGAAAAAGAATGGAAATCAAGATAAATTCTTGTTCTTGAATCAGGGGAATGCATACTACGACTACTTTCAGAAAGCAAAAGAGAAGCAAAACAAATAAAAGAAAATGTGTGCTCAAATCAGGAAAAGGTTTGTGACCCATCAGTGCGCGTTTATTACTATTTTTATCAATTCAATACGTGATTCTATTTGATGTATATCTTTTTTGTATGAATTAATAATTTGCAATCCCCCTTTCTTTTTTTTTTTGGGTCTTTTTAAACCTTGCATGTGATTTCTTTACTCCAAACAACAGTCGATATTCGACAAAGGCTATATTTCACGTGAAAATATGTCAAACCAAATCTTTTTTTTTCCCCCCGACATTTTTCCCGACATAATAAAATTCCTCCTCCCCTTTTTTTTCTTTCTTCTCTTTCCCTCTCTTTTAACTATTAAAAACATGGAAAATTCAACTAGACAACGTCATCATCATAAACCTACTTCCAGAAGTACATCGCCTGTGCGATCTGCACCTTATTACACACATCATCATCATCACCAACCATTACTAACCAGTCGATGGCAGCAATTGGTGGTAGGTGCAGGCTCAGCAGCTGGTACGACAGCAGCTGTGATCAGTGAGGAATCCATGAAATGCTTAAAATATTGCCTTTCATGGTTACAATACGCGACACAACACATTGAGCAACAAATGAATGTGCTTAAAAACTATCTTGTTTCACTAGCAAAAGGTAATCAGTCATTAACTGCGCCAAACACGTCAACAAACACAAACGGGAAATCCGTTTTATCCGGTATTAAAAAAGATATTGTCGAAACACTTCGAAAAGTGGTAGAGGTCATTACAAAATACGCTGGTGCGTCACTTCCTGTGCAAGCAAGACAGACTGTGCGAGGTTTTATATTAAATCTACCTGGACGATGGGTAATAGAGTATACATGTTTCTATCTTTGGTTAGGTCCTTACCTTTTTTTTTTTTTTTTTTTTTTTTATAATTGTAGGCAACTTTAAATGATATTCGATCCACTACCACATCGCCTGCAGGCTCACCCATGCTAGGTCCTCGAAAGGTGTCAATGGATGCTAAACAAGATGAAGCTGCCATTCGATTACTATCGTTCGGACAAGAATCAGTAGAAATGTTACAGTCTGTCTCGACCGTGTTTTCAGATACAGTAGATAGAGCAGAGTTATGGATTGACCGCTTAAAAATGGTGCCTGGTATGAACAAGACATCCAATAACGATCCAATGACACTAAACGGTGAAAGTGTTCGATTACCACCTATTCGTACTCTAGATATTCCCAATCATCACAATTCATACGACCAACAACAAAAATTAAAACTTGATCGTTAATTAAAGATATATATATATTTGTTTTATTATTATAAATTAAGTTAATAAGATGCCCTTCACGTCTACTTGTATTTCTGGCGTAAAGAGAGTGCCATCTGCTTCATGACCCCGTACACTAACGGCTTCTCCCGTACTGCCACCACCGTAGAGATCTAACCAACCACCTGCGGGTAGGGTAGCGGTAAACCAATGATCATTATCTACACCATTGTAATTGCCCAAGAACTAGAATAGCTTTATTGAGTTTCTTATGGAGTATACACAATTTTTTTTACTTACGGCAATAGTGATAATGTCTCCAGGGCCACCTGATTTGTTGCAATCGCTATTTGTATAAGAGCAACAATCTTTTTCTTCAGGACGAAAGTTCTCGTTCTTGAAACGGCTACAATTTATATTTGTTAGTATATAAGAAGACATCAATCTGAGAAAGAAAAAAATAATTTACGATGAGTAAGTTCCACCAGTGTTCATCGTCATTTGACGCATAAAGAAAGCTGTGTCTGGCGTGTGATTATAAATACAAAATGCTTGAGAGGAGACAACAAGAGTAGACAGCAGGTACAACGAAAAAGACTTCATAATTAGAATATAGATTTGAAATAATATGTTCAAAGGCATATTTATAATCAATTCTTGTCTTTTGTTCTCTTCAATAGGAAAGTTTATTTATTTACTTAGGAGGCAGTGCAATCAAAAAAAAAAAAAAAAAAATTCATTGTTTATAATTCTAATCCATATATTTTAATTTTTTCACCCTAGAAACACCATTGGAAAATGAAGGCTAATGATTTTAAGAAAGAGTCAGCCAAAAGTAAATTTTGATTTCATTGTGAATAAACGAACTTTACATGTTTCTTTTTCTTATTACGGTCATAGTCACTATCCGGACTATGGTTATCATCAGATGAAAAGGGAGAACTACCCATTCTTCTGCTTGCCACTCTACTAGATTGTCTACCTGCTAATCCCAAACATTTTTCAAGATGTGGTGCATACCTTGTGGATGCAATGGTCTTTTGACAATTCACGCAGTCATAAGACGGAAGATTATTCACAGTATAACTCTTACCCCATACATCTAAACCAGGCCGTTTAACATAGTGTTTGCATCTATTCCATTCTTGTTTATATTCTATTTTTCTCTTCTCTTTAAGTAAAACTTACTTTGTCTGACATATTTGACAAACTGAATTCTCTTGCTTTGTATCCTTGTGCACATCAAATAGTACGTCATTTATACATTCATCTATAAGGTCTTCTAACAGCGAAAATGCCTATCATGACTTGGGGGGTCAGTATACATACTTATATATATAAAAAAGGGGTGGTGGGGCAACTGCATACCATGGCAGCTCGAGGAAGGTTTGGTTTTTTCACTATTTTGGGTATATTTTTTTGTAGACTTGATTGCGTTTGAGTCAATTCTTCTAATGTCTTGTTGCGATCGGACAGGAGTTTTTTAAATAGTCTTATTTTACACGTTAGCCTTTTTCTTGTATCGCTGTTAGGACAAATAAAAGAGAGAGAGAGTGCTTACAATGTGCCAGCTTCTTTCTGACTCTCTGTTAAATGAGCATTCGATAGATTATCTACATGGCCTTTAGGTTTCTGCATCTTGTATTAAAATAAAACGAGGGAAGAAAAGAAGAAGAAGAAGAAAAAAAAAAAGATTTTATTTTGAAAAAGAGATTTAGACGCAGCTGCTCACGGTGATACTAGTGGGATCCACATCTTTCTTGGAGCCAAAACGGAAGATTCTAGTGAAGGAAGTCTTAATGGATGAAGTTGATTTTGAACGCAGTGTCTTCTTGTAATTATCGAGATAAGCAATCTGTGGTTTATTGAATGCACCTCTTCTCTTTCTTCGAATGAATTCAACTGCATCTAAAGGTTGCATGCCTAATTCTATTAATGCTATAGCAACAAGGGCAGGAGCACGACCTAAGCCTGCAACACAGTGCACAGCAATAGTGGGAGGAAACTCCTTTTCGGCCGAAGCACGTTCTTCTAGATCTACTATAGATAACCACTCAGCAACCACATTAGGAGGAGGCTATAAATATCAATCAGCCTAAATTTCTTATTGGTTCTTTATATATATATATATTTACCACGCCACCATCTTTAAAAGGTAAATCATGAACTTGAATGCCTTGTTCATTTAATCGTGTAGCTGTGTAAGTGGGCTGACAACATCTAACAACATGTGTTACGTTATATCTTTTAAATTCTTCCAGATAAAATGGAAGAGTGGATTCGGTTGGACAATCTAATATGAGAAACCGAAGTGACACGGAGGGCATTTCTATTAAAGAAAGCATACGACCGAGAGGAGTACCTGTTCTTTGGGGGATCATTTTTTGTTGTTGTTGTTGTTGTTTTGTGTTTGTTTGTTTGTGTTGTAAAATAGTTAAGTTTTTGTTATTATTGTTGTTGTATTTAGAAATTATGAGGTAAATTATCCAGGGTCAGAATCTTGTGGATATTGAGCAATGGCGAAAGATGATGCACAGCCGCCGCAAAGTACGTTTGGAGTCTGAGGAGCAAAGAGTTGAAGAATAGGTTGCATAAGTTGAAAGAATACTTTTTTTTTTTAAAAGAAAGTTAGGCTGAATAACACATGTAACTTTCCAGGCTTGAATTTGAAAAGAAGAAAGCGTTTTTTTATCTTTGCCAAATAATATCAATTATAATTAAAAAAAAAAAAAAGATTTTTTTATAAGAGAGAAAAGAAAAACAGAGACGCTCCCTCCTCTCCATTGTGACTTTAAATAAAAAACGGAGTTGCAACCAAAAGCAAAATAACCAATCAAAGTTGCATATAAAAAATATTTTGGTAACACCATGCACACACGCTCCGCTCCCTCCCCTTTTAAAGGCTTGATTTAGATGATTAGCTTGTGAAGCTACCACAACCCAAATAAAAATTAATCACACATTGCAATTTTATCTCTCCCGTCCGACTTTAAATATGAAAAATCTCATTTCAGGGTACCAGTATGATTTAAAAACCCCTTTGCTTTTCCTTTAGCAAAGGTATCCTTCCTTTTCTTCGGGTTTGCTCATGTTTTCAGTAAAGAGTATCCTTCAAATTTCTCTTAATTTGGTTTACCCCTGATTTACAGACCATTTACATTACAATTCTCTAAAAGAGTCTCTCTTACAGTAATTGGTACCTGCATCAGAGCTGGATTCGACCAGTGATGTTAGGGTATTTGCTGTATTCCAATATAATGATTATTTCATCAGGATCAGATAATTGATCGTAAAAGAGATGGACAATCTTTTTATAATAAAATTAATCAACTTCAAATCATTCACTCAGAATGTCTACACATGTGCTTACTACACTTGCAAATCGCTTATCAGTAGGTGTCCAAAATATACTATTTGTCGAAAGGGTATTTCTATGGAAACAAAACAAGCGTTTTGTAGCTTAAAACCTCAAGTGGATGTACATACAAATCAGCTTTACTCATACAGTGCTCACGGTGGAGCCGCTGTATATTTATTTTTGCGGATTTTTCATTGGCCAATTTGCGTTTTTTTTTATTCTCAATTTACGGGTTTACAAGATCCCATTAAGCGTAATGGATAAATATCCTGAGATGAAGGGGTTTTATCTCATTATGGATAGCTCCCGTATTCACGATAAGAAAGACGGTGATATTGACAATATTATTAAATCTAGAGACTATAAATGTGTATATCTTCCTTCTTATTCCCCAGAACTTCACCCCATTGAGCAGTTCTGGGCAGTAGTTAAGAGTAAAGTTAGAAGTCAGTTTGGGAACACTAAGGATCTTAAGACCAGGATCGGCGAAGCATGTAATGAAATTCCTTTCAAACATCTTCAAGGTTTTGTTAAACACTCATTCGATACTTTCCAAAAGTGTTTGAACGAGGAACATTTATAACTTTATCCTGATAGACTTTACCTGACATTAGTAGAAATATATATATATATATATATAAAACGAAAGAGAACGTCCAATTTTTTTTTTTTGAGCAGTTCCAAAAACTAAATATTTATTTAATCATATCTAGTTCAGGAAGCAAATTAGTATCACAATTAATTACGTAATCTTTATCTTTAGATCTTTACCGAAATACGGGTGCGCCATAGCTTCCTTTGCGGTCAGTCTTTCTTGATGGTCATAACGAAGTAAGTGATCTAAAAAGTCGAGTGCCTCATTTGAAATATAGCGACGGTTCTCACTGGTGATGAACTTGGCCCATGGCTTGCATGCATACCTTTTAACAAAGAAAATGAATAAAACATCCACGCGCAGATATGAGACTCCCAAATTCCCTACCTTCCCAATATATCATGATATTGTTTGTCCAGCTTGATACCGTATTTATCCAGATAAGCAAACAATTTATCTGTGCCAAGTACTTTTGCAATTTTTACTAACTGGTCGTAATTATCATGTCCATGAAAAAATGGCTCTTTACGGAATATCTGTAGTGGGGTCGTTAGTTAAAAATAAAACGATATGCAACATAACCTTAAACCCAGTACCATGCTAGCAAACATACAACCGTAGCTCCACATGTCTAAACTATAATCGTATTCTTGGAAATCAACTAATAACTCGGGTCCTTTGAAATAACGTGAAGCCACTCGTACATTGTATGCAGTTCCAGGGTGATAAAATTCGGCTAATCCCCAATCAATCAATCTCAACTATCGTCAATAGTTATTAAATGAAAATACCATTCCTCTCTTTTCTCTGTACCTGATGTTTTTCATGATCAATCATCACATTATGGGGTTTAACATCACGATGCATGATGCCTTTGGAGTGACAGAAATCCAGCGCCTAACACTTGTTATTTTCCCTCATCTTTATGGCTGTTAATATATAATAAATAAAAAAAAAACTTACTTTGAGCAACTCATGCATGTAGAATCGCACGTCGTAGTCGGTGAATCTGGGATAAAGTACCTTGAAATCAGTATTGTTGATATATTCAAAAATTAGAGCGGGTGTCTTGGACTGTAAGAAAGAAAGAAAAATGAGATAAAGCGCTAAAAGCCAAACCACCTGTCTTAACAAGTAAATACCTGAGGATCTCTGACGACATCCAAAAGCTCAATGACATTGATTCCACCTGCTAAATTCTGTAAAATCTTGATTTCACGCTTAATCTTCTTCTTTTTGACTGGTTTCAGAATCTTGATGACACATTTCTCACCGTTGGTGATATTAATGCCTTCAAACACTTCAGAATATTTACCGCGTCCTACTTTACGTACGATTTCATAATTGTCTTGGGAACTTGTTGTCTGTTCAGTACTTTCTTGTGTGTCCTTTTTTTTTTTTTTAAAAAAAAAAAACTCACCTCCACTGGACTTGAAGAGCATCGTAGTCCCAATAACTACTGGGTTCTTTTGTATTTGCATCCGCATAACACTTTGCTACACTCTGATAAGTCATACCATTATCAGTCATTGCTTATAAAAATCAAGAGTAAAAAGGAAATTGGGGAAAAAAAAAAAGTATGTGAGTGAGTGAGTGGTCGGGAGAATTTAAGAGTGAGGAAAAAATGACCTCATCATTTACAACATTTTATTTTTTTCATACTAAAATCTCTAAAAGTGATCAATACTACGTTCAATATCCACTAAATCTTCCATGATTCTGGAAACTGTGGTACCAATTTGTTTGGTTGTTTCTTTTTGGCGTTCAATAGATAAGCCAGCAAATTCAAAAATAAGATCACCGTCTAACACTGCTTTCGTACGATTGGAAGCCATTCTTTGTTTGGGACCTTTGATCAAGCGATATGCTCTAGGATTTAAACCTGCCACATGCTGCACGTTATTCACCAATTGACCATACAGAGTTGAAAGACGTTTGAAGGTCTTTTCGGAAATGGGCGACAGCACCGAAATCGATCCACTAAATGTACCACATAGACAGAAATGTCTTCGGCTGTATTCTAACCCATTTTCCGTTTTTTCAATTTGAGGTAACCGGACCATCGTCTGTACCTGAGATCCTACATGGAAATCACCGCGACGCATCAATTTTTGTCCGCCAAATGATTGCAAATCTATCAGTAAAAATAATTGATTAGATTATCTTGTCCATGTTTCATTTTGTGTTATACTTTACTAAAGGGTGCATATTGATATAAATCCAGGTTTTCGCTTGTGTCACCCACAACTAGGTATAAAGACTTGTCATCAATAATGAAATCAACACAACCAACTTCAAAAGATTGGTAATCTTTTCCTAATAATGATAGCTTGGCTGGCTCGAGCTACAAGAGATTGAAAACCAATTAAAAAAAAAATAACCCCTCCAAAAATGATCTGCCTATACATCTCCCTTCTTTTACCTGAAATCCCAAAAACCAGATGGACTTTTGTGCGTCACCTAGTAAGATAAAGTTTTTGATGGAGCTCATACTCGTCACATAAATTTGTACATCGATAAAAGCGACACCCACAAGACTCTCATCATCCTCTAGACTCCACACAATTACCTACATTCACAAGGTTAAACCACAATGATCCCTTAAACAATTACCTCTTTTTACCTTTGAACCAATGCAGGAAGCTAAATGACCACTGATATTACACATGGCAGTAACAGCACCCTTAACATCTTCTGTATGCAAGTGTTTGAATTTATGGTTGGTTTGAGGGTTATTAGGTTCAGGCACAACCTCAATGATATCAAAAATACGGATCTAGTATAGCATCGTTAGTTATGTTCTTGCATTCAAGAATCCTATTTCTCTCCAACTTACAGACCCACGCATGGTTGTATCCTCACCGCGAAGACAACCAGTGCCTACCACCATAAAGTACTTTCTACCGGTGCTTGTTTGTTTTGACTCGAGGGCAGCACATTGTAAGGAGAAACATTGTTCGAATTCTTCAAACTCCACTTCATCTACGGTTTCCCAGGTAACGGGAGACACCATGATCATCGAAAACTTGTCAACCTGGGGTAGAAACTCCCCGGGTTCTCGCTCCTCATGAACAGGAGTTTCACCTTCTACCTCGTCTTCGTTCTGTAGACGCACAGGAGCCTCAGTTGAAACCAGGACAGCATAGACCTTCATGACGGGATGGTATTGGATTTTATGTACAGTTTGGCCCAAAGGAATCTTTTGCATCACCCAATCCAAATCGTAAATGACCCCGTTTGTGCGTAAGCCAGATAAACGAATGACAGCCTTTGAATCCACGGTAATAAAACCATGTTTACAATTGACGTTATGGAACTGAGTAAAACCAATCACCTCATTTTCGGTCTTCATCGGATGCACACGAACAAAACTTTTGCAGGAGCATAATAACCAAGCGGGTTGAGGACCTGCCACAAAGACACCTGCATACCCTGCCACATCATTGAACGGAATCAAGAGCTTCTTTCGGTGCGTATCGTATTTCTTACTGCGCTTGGCCTCATCTTCTAAATCGGGTCCTGGAATTTCAAATTCATCAATGATCTCCTTCTTCTTCATCTTTTTCGTTTCCTCCGTGACAGAAGCCGCGGATTTTCTTGAAATGTATTCATGGTGTACTCGCGAGAATCGTAAAGCTAACCGATCTGATGTCTCCGACGGCACAAAACTAAATGCCTTATAAATAATAATATCGTCGGTTTCCGTACGAGCCACGAGATGAGGGTCTTTTCTTTCTTTACCAATATTTGTCATAACAATTTCCTTCATAATGGTACTGATCTTTTTTTCTTTGGGTTGTGCTTCTCGATCATGATCGGTAATCAAATCAGGTGCAATATCAAATTGAGGGCATACAAAGTACTCTTTGAAATCAGGAAGACTGTAAATCTTTAAAGTACCATCAGTTGTATACACCACAGACCAAAAACTGACACGTGTGATCTCGTTTAATCCTCCTCCCTGAAGACTGACATTAACCTCGTCAATTTCCTCTGTAATCATGCTGGATTTTCCATCAATACCGTTGTGTGTCATAGGATCGTCTCCTCCTCCATACAACATTTCATCATCGTCATCTTCGTCCATATCGTTCGTAATCACACTGGGCGTCTCTACTGGCACTGCTAAATCGGCATCCAACTGATCCCCATAAAGATCCATATCCACTTCATCAAATTCGGCTACGATGGTTTGCGAAGTATTGGTTTTCTTCAATAAGGAGGTATCAGTGGTATCGTCTGTCGCTTTACGTTTCTTGTGTGCGGATCCAGTAGCAGTATTTGAAGCATTCGCAGCAGCAGCAGCGGCAGCAGCAGCAGTCGCAGCGGCCTTGGCAACCAAAGCAGCCTTTTTCTCGGCCACAGAGGAAAACAAGCCCGAGGTATCTGCAAATATACTTGCCATGGAAACTGCCGAGACATACGAAGGTAAATGTATGGGTGTAATATCTTTTGTTACCGGATCACCCTGCAAGGCTAAAAGTTTGTTGTTCTCCAAAGTCAAGAGAATATAAGGGTCGCGAATACTAGCGTCGACGATTTTGGCACCACGGATGGGAATAGTATGAATACGTTTACCTTCGGGTGTAAGGATCATGACACCTGTTGCATACACTTGCACAATACGAGTGGCATCAAACAGGGTACATACAGCAATAGTAGGACCACGTGTATAAAATCCAGTCTTGACAAGTTCTTGTAATTCGTCACCAGCAGATAAAACCATGGTGCTTTTGGATTTACTGATGAACAGGAGCTTATCAAAGGCTTCGTCAAAGGCGCTGTCTGTTTCAACGGTCTCCCATCGACTGTTGTCACCCTCGGATGTCTTCTTAGTGGTTTTGTGGATGGACTCAGTCTCATTAAAGGGAAGCTCTTTACGACATTTGATGGAAAAGATAGCTTGACTGTCGGACTGGTTGAAAGAAAAGGAAGTTTGGGGATGAATGTGACGTTGGAAGACACAAAGTGCACCGTTTCGACCATGACCTGAACAACTGACGAGTTCCAAGTCAGGTATCCCAGAGACAGGCAAATCCTCGTCTTCCGTCTTTTGATTGCTTTCGACATCACCAATGGTCATATCCACAATAGGTCCCGTATTCAATAAAGTATCACAGACACGGAAAGTAAAATTGCTATCGTGTTGCAATTGAGCTTTGCCGCCCAGTAATTCTTTACTATACTTCCATTTGACCAACAAGGAATCACCCACACGGCTGCCCAAGAAGAAATACTCACCGTTTTTTATATTCGTGACACAGGAAGGTACAGTGGCCAGAGGAGGTAAATCGGTGGCGGATTTGGGGTTCAGATTGACTTTATGTACAATTTCTTCAATATTCATGCCCACAATTTTACTGCCATCCATTCTCATTTGTACGACGGCCCAGTTTCCATTTTGCATAAATATCAGACACCGATCTCCACCAAATGCTAATGCTTTTGCTCCATCCAATGAGAGACCTAGATTGATATTACTGTCGTCGTAAATCATGCCTGGAAATTCGGTAAGTTTCTTGGTGTATCCGTTCACAGCTACACCGACACCGGGTGAGCCTTGAGAGACATGTAAAAGTGAATTGGCAGCAATGACAAGAACACCTGTGACGGGTTTAGGCATTGCGACAAGTTTGATACAATCATAGGGTAATTTGTCGATGGAATAAATAATTGGATAGATTTTGGCGGTTAAGTCTAATGAAATTACGACAACGGACACTGTATCTTTCGTACTTGCTAAGCGACTAATTTTGTTTATAAAGAGTGGGTTAATGATAGGAACGATGATGTTAGGAGAGACTTAAAAAAAAGAAAGAAAGTTGCCGTTTACCCAGTCCAGGTTTGCTCGGATTGAAACAAGATGGCTAATGTAGGTTCATAGTAATCTGCTAAGAATACCATATCAATGACATTTTTGATACGTGGATCAATGGTTTCTAAGTCGATTAGGAAACTAGGTGAATAGGGCCATTTGCTACACACATAAAAAAAAGGGAAATCAGTACTGACACAGGGTCGACTGTATAATGAAAGGGGGGCATTACTCTTCTTCTTCCGCATCGGGTTGTCGCTCATCTAATTTATCTGCTTGACGGAATGGTAAAACTGCTAATTTATTATCGTAAAAGTTTAAAACCGCACATCTTTGTTGTGGATCAATATGAATGTTGGATGGATATGGGTTGGTGAGGAATTCTTTCTATATAAAACGGAAGCATGTTTTAACCATCGTGTATATCTTTTTCTGTTTTCTGCATGACTTACTTTAAATTCGTCTCGTTCGTAGTAGTGAATAGATACAGTGACAATCGAGTTTGTTGCAGGTGACCATTCTAATAATGACATCTTTGAATGAGAGTGAGTAAACAACTTTGTTCTGATATTTTCTATTCCCTGTCATATTATCTTACCTTGGCATCGCTGAATCCTAAAAGCAAACTGTCACAACCTTCCTTTCCACGAGGGGATGTTGTCTTTACTACACCCATGGTTGCAATGGTGCCATTCAATTTATACTGAGCTACTAATTCCAATCTTCCCGAAGTCTTATCTGTAAAGTTCTTCGTTAATGGCTTCATTTTGGGAAACGTAAGTGTCTTTTTTTGATTAAAGTAAAAGATTAGTCACTCCCATTGGATATGTCATTGGTAGGGCCAATATGGTTATTACCATGTCTTCGTTTTCGTTCAAACGTTCATTGACTAATTCATTGTCATCTAATACGTCGTCTTCATCGTCTTCTTCGACAGTGTTAGGTATATATTCCACAAACTCATAGATCTGTAAAAGGGAAGCTTTGGCAACCACAAGATTAATCGCGTCCGGTGAGGTGAAGTGACTTGTCTCTACCTGTTCTACAGTTTGAGGTGGGAACAACTCTTGATATACTGCATATGCCGACATTATCCTAAAACGCGTATGGTTTTTTGTGTCCCTTTTCAGAAAAAAAAAAAAGAAGAGGAAAAAGTGTTTGGGCTAGAAAAAAAAACACCTAAAATCATGATCCTTTAAACAAGTCACAGAGCACTTTTTGAGACACATTTCTTTGGTACACATTGAGCACTGACAGTAGCTAAATATAAAGCACCAAGCATTGAACCGTCGGCAAATACACAATCATGTTTCTCAAAAAAAAAAAAAAAAAAAAAAAATTGACTGAAATAGAAGACTGATATTATGCATGATATCAATTTTACAAACTATAGCTTAGTACAACTTCCTACAGAGCTCAGATACCTGAAATGGGAAGGCATAATTAGAAGCACAGCGCCTAGGACATTCAGTGAAACTTTCAAAGTGTAAAAAGTTTATTGATCTACTACCATAGAAGATATAAAGCCCATCCTTGCAAACCCGCTCTTGTAGGTAGGAAGATCAATCCCGATTTGTAGATAAAAGAATAATACCAACTGATTCTTTAAAGTAACCAGCATAAAAAAAAAATTGTCGTAAAAACATAAAAGTTGTAGTATATTATAAGAAAGATATGAAAAGAGAAAATGGCAAGAGTTAGTAATAATAGGACGTTATACAAAAATATAAGGGGGAAAAATGTATAGACAAAAAAAAAAAATGTTCAAGGATGTTATATTAAGCAGAAGCGGGAGTTTCCTTTTTCAAATTTTTCTCTTTTACATCCATATCAGCAAAATTAGTCGAGAAGCCATCTTGCCATGTTTGATCTGGTTCTGTGGTGCTGTTACTGCTATTGAAATCACCAAATGGATCATCGTCCTCGGGCGAATCGTGTTTTTGGGGTGTCTGTAAACCTGCGGCTGGTTGGGCTGTGAAAGAATCACTGAATCCACCCGTCCAATCCACCGTTGTTTCTTCATCCTCCTTTTCCTCATCCGCTTGATGTGAGACTACTAGACCAGCAGGATTTTCATTGACGGCATAATCAGTTTCAGTGAACAAATAATCCTCGTTGCCTCTTCAGCAAAATTGTAAGTCACCCTTTTGATTTTATCAATTAAAAATAATAAAAGAACCTACCGGGTAATCCAAGTATCATGAGATTGATCACTAGTATCAAATCGACTCATTTGGCTTCTTAAAGTAGCTTCCGTATGATCTTCATCTTCCTCCTCATCCTCTTCCTCCTCTTCATCATCATCGTCATCATCATTTATAATAGCGTGCATACCATTCTGTCTAATTTCTCCTAAAGGCAAACTATCTCTCTCTTTAGTCTCTTTGAGCTGTCCCACACAATAGACATGCCATTTGTCTAAATCAATCGAGTCTTTTACGGCTGAAATAATTCCTTCAGGATATCCTTCAAACAATTTGATGACTTCATCTGAAATGAAGGTCAAATGTCCCATGTAACCTAAACGCATCCCTTTGGGCTTTTGGCTATGATAAAAATAAATAGATGATGAGCGGTTGTTCTCTAATAGAATAAAGGTATCAATGTATTACCATTCAATGTCGTTCTTCTCTTGCGCTTGGACGATTTTATCAGTTAAATGACCTTGTGTAAATATTGAAAGAGCTAATTGTCGATTGGATTCTTTGTTCATTTGACCATTGAATACTTGATGTAACATATCATAGACAACATAATGTAAAAAGTTGTTCCAAGGAAAATAAAAGAACAAATCCTATCAGAGTTGACATAGTTAATCTATCCGCATATATTAAAATGGTGTACTAAAAAACCAGCAAAGAACTTACTGTACATGTGGGTAAGACCTTATGTTTTACGAATTCAAGTTTCAATAAATCACCCGGCGTAGGCTCATCCTCCTTGGTGATATTTAAACTGGACATGTTGGAACAATGCAATAATTCGGCAAACAGCTCACAAATCTTTAACCGCTCAAAGCCCAGTGGAATAGGCAATGATTCTCGCACCATGAGTTGGGGCACGGTTTTAGGGTTCAAGAGTAAATGGTTAAAGTCTTGTATATGAAGGGTTAATACACGAAGCATATCTACAAGTGAAATCATCGGTTGACGCACTGTCTGGTTTCCGTATCCCATGACAACAGCAGCTGTCTCGTTATCCATATCGCTGTTATTATGTCGAATAATATCAATAATAATTGTGACTCCATTAATCAGTGTAGATGTAGAGTTGGGTTTAGATGAATCCAGCATGTAATTAACCAACTTTTCCATCACTTCTTTGCTAAAGATGATATTAGCATATGCAAATAAAAAATTCCTCGGCAGTGTTAGAGGGATCAGGAGGACTCACCTTGTTAACTGAAGTATAATGTCATTAACGCCAATACTAGGTGATTCTAATAAACTCGTTTGCGACATTCGAATGATTTCACAAATACATTGTTGTGCTGTACAATGCTCCTACAATAAATGTTTTTTTTAATAATGAGCACAAGACAATCAATTGTGGTTTCTTTACCTCTGTTTCAAGATTTGGATCCAGCCTATTTATAAGGTTCAACAATAGGCCATTATCATTTAACCACTTGAAAGATGATTTAGTAGGTTTGTAACAAACATATTTATTGAGACTTACCTGGACAGTTCCTTTTGCTTCGGGTAACTCCTCTAGACGGACCAGAGTTAACAATAAATCCATAATAGCTGAACTTTGTAGGTGTGACAATATCATGTCCAAATTGGCGGGCTTTGATTTAATAAAGTCTAACATCTCCAATGCTCTCTTTGTGAGGAATATAGTAATGATTTTGCAAAAGTAAGAAGACTGGAAAGAATAGGATGCGTCTGGAGAAAAGGGCAACTTTAAAAAATTCCAGAAATCTTCGAGTATTTCGACGTGCTCAATGACAATGGCATCTATTAGTTGAGGTATTTCACAAGCAAGAATTTCACATGCAATTAAGGGAAGTCTAAAAAGGAGATGGCATGTTTAATAAACTTATCGTTTATGTGTACCTTTTTTTTGTTTGTTTTACCTTTGCTTATCAATGTCCAGCGAGAAGAATAAAGCAATAAGCTGAGCAATGTTTTCTTTTTTCAAGAGACTAAAAAAAAGGAAGTGTTATAAACAGCACCGAAACTAAAACTTGTTTATTCTTACAACTCGATTAGCTTTGGGTTTTGTGATTTAGCTTCTTGAATGATATCCTGATCACATAATATTTCTTCCAAAGTAACATCTTCTTGTTCTAAAAGACCATCAATTGCTGAAGGGTTATTAAACCCGAAACGCCAAAACATGTTTTATGTAAAAGGTAAAAAGAGAGATAAATAAGGGGAGCTTAGAGTTAACTTTTACCAAGAAAAAAAATAAAAAATAAATAGCGTCGTTCTTTTAAAATAGAACAGTGTCGTATTGTTTATAGGAAAGTGCGTTGCACAATTCATGAAAAATAGTGTCGTGAAAAAAAATAGGTTGCATGTATAAATAAGCCCATAAAAACCATACAGCTACTTGCGAGGGCAGTCAATTTTCTCGAGTTTATACCATTGCTTTTAACTGTCAGATGCAAAATGTTGTCTTGTTGGAGAAAGATAAAGTGGCAAGTAGATCATCTCACCAATAAGAATGCATTATGGTCCCTGAATAAAACTCGACACTCAGAGTAACACACATGCTCATAATCTTTTGTGAGGAACCCGCCAAAAACGATCTGCATATTTCCCCTTTTTCCGTGTTATCATTACTGGCTTTTAACACATGCTTGAAATGATAGTAACTTTTATTACATAAGCATATTTTCTTTCCCAGCTTCTATCTATAAAATGCAATGTCTTCCTTGTGATGATGAGACATCAAGCCCTGAAACTATCTTTCACGTGATTGCGGTGTCAGAAAATTGTTGTATTTAAAAAATCGGACCACCTTGTCTCTTCTTTTTATTTTTTTTTAATTTTATACTTGAAAGCTCATTTCCCTTCATCTAATTAATTTCAATGACTACCACACCTATTGAAGAGTTTGAACTAATCATTGTGGGCGCTGGCATCGTTGGTTGTGCTGCAGCCAAGGCCTTTGGTACCGATGGTAGACGTGTGTTGTTGCTTGAGCGTGATCTCACCGAACCAGATCGTATTGTTGGAGAGTTACTACAACCTGGTGGAATCAACTCTTTAAAGTCATTGGGGTTAGAAGGTACCATTTCTTTTCCTTTAAATATTCTGTGGTATTAACAGAATATATTTAGACTGTGTGGAAGGAATTGATGGTATTCCTTGCTATGGCTATGGTGTGATCCATAAAGGACAGACAGTTGAGATTCCTTATCCAGTCAATTACGAGACAGAGAAACAAGCATCAGGTAAATCGTTTCACCATGGTCGATTTATTCAGAATTTAAGAAAAGCTGCCACTTGCACCGAAAAGTATGTGTTTGTGTAACCTTCCAATTATCACTATTTTATTTTAATCAAGCCCGTTTGTTTATGTAGTGTCACAGTACGAGAACTTACAGTAAATACATTGATAAGAGAGGATGATGGAGACAAAGTGATTGGTGTCAGTGCTCAATCCAAAACCAACGAATATTTCAAGGTAAATTAATATATATATATATATATCGCATCTCTAAGGTCAAATCACTGATAATCGCAAAATATAGTTTTATGCCCCTCTGACTATTGTGTGCGATGGTTTATTTTCTAAATTCCGTAAAGAATTCACCACAAAAACACCCGATGTTCGATCCAATTTCGTTGGCTTTGTCTTGAAAGATTTGGAATTGCCTTTGCCCAACCATGGACATGTCATTTTGGCGAATCCTTCTCCCGTATTAATGTACCAGATCAGTACGCATGATACCCGTGTATTGGTTGATGTACCTGGTAAATTACCTTCTGTATCCACAGGTGAACTTAGAGCTTACATGGAAAATATCGTTGCACCTGAATTGCCTGAATCCATTCGAGTAAGAGTCTTCATTTATAAATATCGTTTCTATACTCATACATCCTTTTATTGCTTAGCCTAAATTTATGGAAGCACTAGAGACAGAAAAATTGAGATCCATGCCAAATGGTTTTTTGCCTCCCTCAGCTAATCAATCTACCGGTATGATTGTTGTAGGCGATGCCATGAATATGCGTCATCCTTTAACCGGTGGTGGAATGACTGTAGCATTTAACGATGTTGTCTTGTTAAGGGATTTCTTGTCACCTCAAAATGTGCCTTCATTTACAGACTCGGAATTAGTTATTCAGCAAATGAACTCATTCCACTGGAAGAGAAAGAACTATTGTACTGCAATCAACGTCTTGGCCATGGCCTTATATCGTCTATTTGCTGCGAATCATGGTAAGATTTATTTGATGGTATCAATGTGTATGTCTAATCCGTATTTGCATATTGATAGACGCTGATTTGGAGGTTTTACAGAGAGGATGCTTCTCCTACTTTCAATTAGGCGGTGATTGTGTGGACGGACCTGTGGGTTTATTATCTGGCTTAATCCAACGCCCAATCGTACTCGTCTATCATTTCTTTGCAGTCGCTTTCCATGCTATTTATATTGAAGCAAAGAGTAATGGCTGGTCTGGCGCTCATCATAGTTTCATCATGTTATTTACCGTACTTTACACTGCATGCGTTACCATTTTACCATACCTTTGGACAGAGACAAAGTATTAGATCATTTCCACAAACACTCTCCATTTTATTTATACTACAAGAATTAATACAAATCATCAACTTATTATTATAATCAGTGTCTTTGTGTGTGTATTGCACACGTCGTTTTTAAAAAACAAGGTTAGAAAAGGGTACAATAATTAAGCGTATGAAAGCGACGCATCCCAAAATAAAACCTGTTCATATCATATTAAATGCGAGCTACTAACTTTTGTTTATTTTGAAAACCATCTAAGGACAGACAAATCTTAACAAAAAGCGTTAAATGATAGAATAATATCTCTAGCCATGGTAGGTCGTAAGCACGGCTGGATGGATCAAAGCATGTTTATTGCAAAAAACCATTTGAGTATCCTACTTTGGTAAGTATGTTACACGATGAACAAATTCATGCTTATTTTTTGAGCTCAATTGATACAACATTAATTAAAGTAGCAAGATGTGCGGATCCATTTGGCAGCTTTCTACAGAATAAACAAAGATTGTCATAGTTTGCCACAAAACAAAGGGATAGAGCACACAAGGATGTCAATTTTATAAATTTGAAGCCGTCCCGGAGCTTATTAAACATACCCGTTTTTTTTTTTTTTTTTTTTTTTTTTTCTTTTTTTAAATTGACGCATCACGCAAAATTTCTATCGCGGTCAATTTTTGATCAAATATTAACAAGCAAAAATGCGATGAATTTTTGACCGCCGTCGCGGCGATGGCGGTTAATTTTAGACCGTAATCTTCGCGAATGCCGTCAATTTCTACACTTTTTGGCCGTATTTATCAAGAATGCGATACTATTACTGGTCGTATTTATCCCGAATGCCATCAATCCCTTGCTTATTAAATTTTATACCCTTGTGTTATGAACAATTATGTGTTTATATTATGAATAATTGAATTTATTTTTTATTAAATGTTTATTAAATAACAACGGCAAAAGGGATTATGGATTATGAGGTGAAATTACAGATAAAGTGGATACATAAATTACCGATAAAATGGATACATAAATGAATACATAAGAGTATTATACATATAGAAAAGTTACATACCTACAATTAAAAATATTAGTGGTTGGCTTATGTAGGCTACAGCTGCTATTTTATTCACCTTATCCTAGTGTATGCCTTGTATTAATACGTAAGCGTATTATACGAATAGAAAAGCTACAAACCTAAAATTAAAAATATTAGTGGGTGGCTTACATAGGTCAGAATTGCTTCTTTATTTACCTTAGCCCAGTGAGTGTTTTGTATACATTATATCTCTAGACTACTGTGTTAAAATATAGTACAATTTTATACAATAAGTTACTTACATTTCTATCAAGTGGCAATATAAAGAAAAGCAGATATAGTCAGTTGTAGAGAAAAATATTGGACTTAACTTGACGAATGTAAGATACCCACTAACAGGTTTACCTAGTGCATGGGTAGGGAAAGGGTACATCTATGTCAAATTAAGTCATATTTAATATTTATAAACATACATAAAAACTTTAAGTACAAAATCAGTTGTTGGGGGAAGAAAAGAAAACTTTTATTGCTATGTAAGAAATATTAAGAAGGTTTTGACTAAAAACCTTGGAATGGACTTTAAAAAAAAGGATCTAATCCAAGCGAGCTTGTCGACACAATCTTGGCAACATTGTTTTACTGTATCTGTATTAGCCTTTTAATTAAAATCTTGTTCTTCTTAAATTTCTGCTTTTGTTACGGTTCTGAGTTACAATACGTTCATGCTGGATTGGTGAAAATCATAACGCTATAATTTAAGGCCATTCCCTGGGTTAAGTCTTACGTCGAGAACGAGCAAAAGAAGTTTGTGGTTTTATATGCTGACGAAATTATGTGTTCGGCTGTTCTGACCAATGCCACTGATTATTCATGTTACAATTACTGGTGATGCGTTTAAGGCGAATATGTTAATAAAATGTAATTAACGTGACACAAAATATCAATCCCAGTCCATAAGCCAAACCATCATTTTTGTTTCTCTTATAAAATCATCAATAATTATCGTAAAGCACTAATTTTTTCGACTATACTATTCTAATAATCAACCCTAATTTTTGACAGTAGCAAAATTAATATTTGTAGCTATTTGTTTCTTTTTAGGAGTTAAACATAGGCGATTGGCGGTCAATATTTGATATTTTCGCCAAAAATGCGACATGGTCAATTTTTAATAAATCTTTTTCAAAATTTTGCACTGACTGGATTATCAAGTTTTGATTTCAAGTTTTTTTTTTTAAAGATCCAAAGTTGCCCAAAACACAAAGGTCTAAAAGACAAAAGTTACAGATGCACCCTTTGAAAACCCTTACTGTAAGTTTTAAAAGAGGCACTCTTAGGTGACTAAAGCTCAACTTTAATACTTTTTCCATTGTGTAATATCCGATGTCTAAGAGACAATAATTTCCATCGAAATATAAGATAATTCTTTATTAAATATTTAATTTGCTCTTGTATATTTATTATATGTTCATGTTTGTTAAGTCGGTGATTCTTATATGCTCCGTATTTACATTTGAGTAGTTGTTACTATGGTGAGACAGTCTTGTGATATACCACATTGGTAGCATTTGTGGAGTGCTTTTACTATAACATTAATTGTATTTAGCCCCAAATTGAAAACCCAGCTCATATTAGACAGATTTTATTTTTTCGCATATAAAACTGCTCTCTAAAGTATATTCAATGATTCGTCTAATTTTCTAAACATTTTGAGTATAGTATTTGTGCTAAACCACACATATAGATTATACATATAATAAATTCATATCTCATCATCACTGATAAATGATAGCTAAATTATGATCAGGCATAAAAAAGGAATTCGCTAAAGCCGGTCACTATTTTAAAGTGTCACGGTATCGTAACACCAATGCCCGAACTTAAGACATGTTATTGTTATTATTTCTCTATTGACTATGCGTAGCACTAATTGTCCAATATAGATATTGTTATTGATAGCATACTCATATTGTTAAGAATAGTATCCT